AACAATAGTTTAAAGCGATTTGAAGCATGTTTTATTTTTGGGGGGAGGGCAGAGCGTTGTGACGTCATATTTGAGGGGGGGGGGTCTGACTTTTTGTGACGCCGTGTGACTAGGGGCGGGGGGGGGGGGTCAAAAATCGTCCAAAATCGCGTGACGTCATTTATGGACAGCCCCTCGGAGATCTGGGTTTCATACGAGGCACAGAGAGACAGAGATAAAGAGAGAGAGACCGCTCAGCCACACGCCACACCGTGATGATCCAGCACTGTGTTTTATTGTTCACCACAGCCGAGACGGTAAACGGCGCGTAGCAGCTCACGATTCAAACGTCCCTTGCTTCCCAGTAACAATCTGGCGGCGGGGTTTGGGTTCGCAAAGCGTTTGGAAGATGCGCGCCGTCGTTTCGAACGCTCGATAAAAAAAGTCAAACGGGCCGACGCATGCTGGCGTGATGAACCCAACCCATTCCAACTAAAGCAACGCAACACACAAAACCGCACCGCGTGGTACACACACACACACGCACCGCGTGGTACACACACACACGCACCGCGTGGTACACACACACGCACGGTACACACACACGCACGGCGTGGTACACACACACACGCACCGCGTGGTACACACACGAGTGGTACATACACACGCAACGCGTGGTACACACACACGCAATGTGTGGTACACACACGCACGCACGCGTGGTACACACACGCACGCGTGGTACACAAACACACGCAATGTGTGGTACACACACGCACGCACGCGTGGTACACACACGCACGCGTGGTACACACACACACGCAATGTGTGGTACACACACGCACGCGTGGTACACACACACACGCAATGTGTGGTACACACACGCACGCACGCGTGGCACACACGCAACGCGTGGTACACACACACGCAATGTGTGGTACACACGCACGCACGCGTGGTACGCACGCACGCGTGGTACACACACACACGCAATGTGTGGTACACACACGCACGCACGCGTGGTACACGCACGCACGAGTGGTACACACACGCACGCGTGGTACACACACACGCAATGTGTGTCACACACAACGCGTGACACACACACGCGTGGTACACACACACCACGCGTGACACACACACGCACGCGTCGTACACATACACGCAATGTGTGGTACACACACACGCAATGTGTGACACACACACAACGCGTGGTACACACACACACAACGCGTGGTACACACACACGCACGCACGAGTGGTACAGACACACCACGCGTGACACACACACACGCAATGTGTGGTACACACACGCGTAATACACACGCACGCACGCGTGGTATACACACACACGCGTGGTACACACACCACGCGTGACACACACACGCGTGGTACACACGTACGCGTGGTACACACACACCACGCGTGACACACGCAACGCGTATATACCTTGGGGCTATACGATATTAGCTAATGTAAAAAAAGACATTTTTAAAGCACGGTGTGTTATGAGGTTAAATGCTCTAACCACAAGTTGTCTACTTTTAAACGAATTTATTTAGGCATTTGCAATAGGGTAACATTTGCAGAATTAAATCGAAAGACCGTTTCGCTAAATATCCTTTGTGTGTGTGTGAAATGCTCATAATAAGCAGGGAGACATTCGCTAAGATTACTACGGTTGCAACTATTACCGTGACAATTTTGTTAGTGATACTCTGTCGGAAACAATGCATACAGCTTGACAACAGGGCCATGTGCAATCGAGAAAACAATATTAATAACACTTTTTAATTGGAAGCAAAAAAATGGCTCACAATGTGCCACCAAGTAATGGCCCAAGTACTTAACTGCATTCTGTCCAAAGTGGAACCGAAACTCAATCATGTGGCACTAACACTGTGTCAGGTGTCAGTAGCTGCGCGTGTCTTCGTGTCAAGCTATGCAACACTGTCTGGAAGATGCCTGGCCCGTCACGCCACATTTGTGCCCTCGCTACGCTTGCGAAATGTGGAAACCCCCCTTTTTAGACACAGACTGCAAAGGGGGCTTTGAAACACGAGAGCCGGTTAGCCTCCTATTATCGAGATTAGGGTGGGCGTATTGAGGCTCTTCACAAACCAGAACGATCTGAACAAAGTCTCATCACTGGGCTCCTCTGACAGGCGAGGCTGCTTTGGATGTGTCACGTAGCTCACCTGCCTAGCCACCACGTTCCTGAGCAGCCTTTGAGTATATTTGAACCAGTCATGGGTCCTCCCCACGGTCGACGCAGCCTTAAATGAGTGCCTGTTGCGGTGTGTAACACATAACCAGCACTGGGGAGACAAAGGCGGCCAGGCGTGGTGTTGTGGCCAACACCATCCCCTCTTGCGCTGCGAGTGCCTTAATAGGTGCTCGCTAACAGCCCCAACAGTCATAGGGCTAAATGATGTGTTGTTTGTGGGTGCAGTAGCGTAGTGGTCAATTAACTAGATAGGCCTACATTCCTGTGCACGGTCCACAACGCCCGTGGCAAATGGCATAAGAATAGATTTCGATCGAGGAGTCGATGCATCCTTAGATACGTACTTGACTTCAAATCCACGTGTCCGAACACCGATTCCGTGGATAAAATCTGACACGGTGCCAATGATACCAAACACAAATAAAACGTTTCCTTGCTGATCTCTTATTCGGGTATCACGGGCAGTACGTGCAAGAGTCGGAACACGGGGCACTTACAGCCTGGGGCCACGATATCAAATAGAGGGGTTACATCGCTTCCAGGTGACCAGTCCGACTCTTCAAACCAGTCCTCCTCCCTCCCCGCCCGTGCGAGCGTAAGGCGCGGGCCCAATGACACCGCTGATCGCGAAGGCCGAAACGGTTTGTGGTATCAGCTCAACTAACTGCGCCTGATAGTGGTGACAGCGCACGGAGGAGAGTGGGTTTGGCGAGGTGGCTGCCCGGCTCAGGAGGTCGGAGACACTGAACCGACATGTCTGAGATTCCCCGGGTTGGATGCGGGGTTCAGCCACCCGTGATTAAACCGGGTTTCAAAGTGCTGGGAGTTGATGGTCTCAGCCTGGTTACCAACGGCAATACAAATCATATTAATTGTAGTCTTTAATTGAATTTTGGTTAAATGATAGATTTGAGAATAACACATTTTTTTATGTGACTGTCATGCAAACGAACAGGGCATGTGGAATAATGCTCCCCCTAAGTGTGACAAAGAGGTTACTCGCAGGAGATCTCAGAAGTGGTTCTTGAACGTCAACTTCCGCAGGCCGTTCTCAAGCAACTGGCGAGAGCGCACGCGTGTGCGCGTGCGTGACGTGCATCTGCGTGCCGCTTGCCAAACTTCCAGAGGCCCATCGCACGGGTGGGCAGTGGGGCATCTGGCACCACGCGGATGCTTCGTCGGGGCTCTCTCTGCTGCTGCTGCTTTCAGGGATGAGCGCATTCCTGGAAACGCGAGCTCATAATGTGGACGAGGCAAACGCGATGAAGTGTCCTGGAGGCTGCGGCTGCTGCGCGACTGCCGAACGAGTGCAATTGGTGAAGTTTGTGAACAATTTGGTTTCGCGTATTTATTTAGCCATGCCACAGTTCACCCCACGCCCAGCAATTTGATTGTCACGGTTTCAGGGGTTGTGATTTTGATTGTCACGGTTTCAGGGGTTGTGATTTTGATGATAATGGTTTCAGGGGTTGTGAGCTTGATGGTAATGGTTTCAGGGGTTGTGATTTTGATTGTCACGGTTTCAGGGGTTATCATTTTGATTGTCACGGTTTCAGGAGTTGTGATTTTGATTGTCATGGTTACAGGGGTTATCATTTTGATTGAACGGTTTCAGGAGTTGTGATTTTGATGGTAATGATTTTAGTTGTGATTTTGATTGTCATGGTTTCAGGAGTTGTGATTTTGATTATCATGGTTTGAGGGGTTGTGATTTTGATTCAGTAATACATTTTTTGTGAAGCTTTTTGGAACATTTTTTCAACTAATTTGTACAATTTTACATTTTTTCTTTTTCAATTTGCCTAAAAACGTGGCATTAGCGTTCCATTTACAGATCATTCGCATAAACCATAAACGTATCGAGGACTACACGCAAAATTGAATGCACATATCGTGACGAGCATAAGAATCAATTTAATTCATGATGCGACGCTCCATGAAACACGCACGCCTAATACTTTTACAGCAAGAAAAACACAATTACATCGTGGCACGGAGGGATATGTGGCAACTAAGCCCTATGCCAGACCATCTGCCTAATACGTAATTGGACACAACTGGAAATTCTAACCAAATTTGGAAAACACAGTGGCAAGGAAGCCTTAATTGATCGAATTAGACGTGGAGCGTGCTTCTGCAGAGCCGCATACTGTATAGTTCGCATCACATTGTGTGCATAATTTGACACCTCTACTCAATGCCCAAATTGGGACAAGATTCTGAAATTCCCTGGCCATCGGCCATGAGGTCACTTCTCATTTATTCCAGCAACTTGAGTAAAAAGTTAATCTGACTGGAGCTCTGGATTAAAAATGTATTTAAGTTTAATCATAAATTCCATGGATGCCCAATTTCTCAATTGCCTCATTCAGCCACGTGGACGCACTCTGCGATCAAGAAGTTGGCCGAAGGATCGCCCAAGGATAGGAAATAACGAGATCTGAGTTTTAGCCACCGATGTAAAAAAATGTCTCAAATTTACCTCGATGATTGCACAAAAAACAATGATGGCGAGATGTGAATTACCTGGTCTGGCATACAGGAGGTCGTGGGTTCGATCGTGACCCTGACGCCTGCTGTATATTTGCAGTTTGCATGTTTTCCCTGTGTCGAGTGGATTTTTCTCCGGGTCCTCTGCTTTTCCCCTCCACGTTTAGAAACACGCGTTTAGAGTATTTGGCAGCTATACATTTCCACGTGATAAGCCACTTCGTTGAGCTATCATTTGTGGCCAGGACGATTAGGAAAAAGAGCTACATAGCTCAGTGGGCCTTACCTCGTAAAATACAAATAGTTGAGTTTTTTAAAATTTATTCAGCTTGGTAAATATTCCAAAAAGAAAAAAACACTTTTATTTGGATATAGCCCTATGGTAGCAACTGCCAGAACATACCTAAGTCAGTTCACCGGGCCATGATTCAAGTATCACCTCTGGTAGTTTTCAAAGTAACCCAGCGTCCTGGGACCTCTTTAGCTTCCTCGGAGGCGCATGCTCAACAGCTGATAGAATGTTCCCTTACAGGGGTATGGCCACTGATGAAGTATAACGCGGCGATTGGAAATGCCAGTGCAGGCTGTTAAACACATCGGGGCCACTGGCAGCCGAGGTTAAAAGTGGTAGCACAATGCCCGAGAGCTGGCAAAAGAACGACTTGGCACTCGCAAAACGCAATCGCGATGAACTGCATACAACATGGCTTTACATATTTCATCCGATAGGCATATAATAAACTTACATTTTGATAATACCGCTTCAGCGAGCTTTATATAAACAAAACATGAAAAATAAAGGGTACTTGATATTCGCTGGCAAGCTTAATTATTATGCAGCAGTTTAAGCCAACAGGCCTGCCGGGAGAGAATTCAGGCAGTGACGGAGGGAGGATTTCACCCTCATCAGAAGTCATCACCTTAAATCGCTACGCGCTGCTCACCCTGGCATTTTTTTGCTAGGGTGAGGGATGATAACTTGCCGTTGAGCCCCAATGAGAGTGAAACGTATCGAGACCCGCCAACCTAGAGCGAACTGCACGATACTCTTACTGTCCGATGTACTATTATCGTCCACAAGCGACGTGGCATACTTTTGCCATCGTCGCTTACGACGATGGGCTACCAAGCAGAAGATAAAATATCATCAAAATAAAAAAATAAAGCATCTCCGTACAGTCTCAAGCGGCCACACAACCCTATCTGCGAAGAGCACGTCACTGAACATTTTAGATAAACTTGCCAGCGAGTCAAACGTCTTACCCTTTGCAATTTCAAAAATATATGTCTTCTAAAGAGTAAAATTACACACGGAATGCGGCGTACGATTTACAAGACACGTGTAACACTGATTCATACAAAGCCTGTGGGCTGCTGCTGCGGTGTTGCGGAGTCACCAGTTGGCTTTGTAAATGTACTTTTTGTTATCTGATAATCTTACCGAATAAAAGTTGTTTTGAAATTCTAAAGAGTGGATTAAAAAGATATATAGCCCTTCCAAAAAAAACAAGTATTTTACTCACAAACAGGATAACATTGTCTACATTCATCGACACTTTGCCGAATTAAAGCGTTCAGGTTACAGTGAATGAGATTTGAGTTGAAATAAGCTACATGTGATGGATTACATCCAATCACAGCTCGGATCATCTCTCTGCTATGTCACCTATTATATTTACAGGGACTCCTCTACTTACGAACGAGTTAGGTTCCAGAGGTCTGTTCATAAGGCAATTTGTTCGAAGTCCAATTTTAGTCCTGTCGCTTGCAAACATGTTGTACGGCATGCACACTAAACACGGGGAATGGCTTTGAAAGCTGTATAATCTCCTTGTAGATGTAGACGCCACTGATTCTTCATGTTCTGCAGATATTGATGCGAGCACCGCCATCTATTGCACGGCGATTGAACTTACGACTGGCAACTGGACACACGGACAGGTTTGCTCGTATCTCTTGAAAGTTCGTAAGTCGAATGTTCGTACATAGAGGAATGCCTGTATATATAGAGAGATTTTTGGGCAGATATTGACGATCGTGTTGACTTTTTGTTATTGGCTGCTATATTGGCTGAGCGAACGACGGGGTGGCTGGCTGCCTGCTCTCACTCGTGAGCGCTGTCCACATTATGTCAAATATAGTTTTTTTGCAAGTAACATTTATTTTTCTTCTCCAGGACAAAGAGTCAGCATTGAGCAGAGTAGCGCTAAGAGCGGGGTTAGCGTTAAGAGAGGTCTGCCTGTACTCAGTGGCGCGTAACTTTAGAAATATATATAATGGTATACAGAGTTTAAATGAGCACGGCCGAATATGTATACAGCACAATTGAATTGAAATACTCTATGTTTTATAAAGCACCTGAATAACCTGGCTATATTGCCACATAACCCGGGCTTGAACTCGGCATTCATTACGACAGTGCGCCTGCCTGTAGTTATGCAGGTACAGGGGGAAGCATGGCCATGGGTCTGCCACTCTCTCCAGAGCATTTTCGCGTTTTCAATTCTGTTTGTTGGAGTTTGCTTCGTGTATATATTGCCTACGTGGCAATTATATTCTTGGTTCTTTCGGTAAAGTCACATAGAAGGGAAACAATAAAATAATAAAAATATAAAACAATACAATTCTCACGACGTTTCGACTGCAACACAAGCAATCATCATCAGGTGTGAAAACCACAGCAAGAAAATTTGAAAAAAGTGGCGGTTTTTTAACGTTAGCACCACGGAGAGCGATTTGGCAGTTATTCAGATGGACGAGTCCATCTATATTCTTGGTTATTTCGGTAAAGTCACGTAGAAGGGAAACAATAAAATAATAAAAATATAAAACAATACAATTCTCACGACGTTTCGACTGCAACACAAGCAATCATCATCAGGTGTGAAAATCGGATGATTGCAGGTGTGAAAACCTGATGATGATTGCTTGTGTTGCAGTCGAAACATCGTGAGAATTGTATTGTTTTATAATTGTATTATTTTATTGTTTCCCTTCTACGTGACTTTACCGAAAGAACCAAGAATATGAATCCCTGCAGTCACGAAAGCTTTACATCAAAATTTGCGTGGCAATTGTTTCAGCACGTTGCATGCGGACTGCAATCTCTTCCTTAGTCAATTAAAAAGAAAGCATTTGGTGATGCTGCTGCTGCTGCGATGGCAGTGGTGAACAAGCACAATAACAAAAATAAACTCACCACGTTCGTCAAGAACACTTCACAAGCACACACAGATTCGTGGTGCGAATAGAGGGGCCATCACCAAAAACGCCGTCTCTTATTCTCAAGGCCACAGTCTCATTGACGACCGTGCTGAGTTTTTGTTATCTCAATTAACCCCAGCACGGGGGGCAATGCTATAAATAATAAATAACGGTAATTTTATGACTATTATTATGCTTGTTTACCCAGGAAAGCCTCACCGAGTCTCATCGATTGTTTGTTGTTGCAGTAGGTAGGTGACCATTGCATAGCGTAATCGCCAACTGAGTTTTTTTGGCGGGTACTATTTCATATTTGGCAAATGTGGACCGCGATATCGGCAAGCAAACTGCCCGGTGTCTATAACGACGACGACGATCTCTCGCACCTCCCTGCTCTTTGGCTGAGTGCGATTATCATCCTCGGTGTGGCCATCACAGGGACTCTGCTGTCAAGCTGTAGGCGTTGATCGTCGCTCTTCATGGCTTTGGCTCAGGGCGCCCTGACGCTGCTGCTGTGGCTGCACGAAGGCCGGAGTTCAAACTGCGCGGGGTTATCGCGGTTGTGCCGCCGTACAGCTCTCGGATGTATTTTTAGGGTTGTACCGAGTGTTGTCTGAGGTTTCGCTTCACACGCTTCTTCAGGAAGCTCCCAGCACGTGGGGCGAAACGTCGGACATCGTGACGCGCAACACAAGGCCATACCGCACCGAATACACATCGGGGAGCTGTAACGCCTGCGCCCATTTTTATGCCTCCATAACATTCTTGAACTATTGGCATGATTGTCACTATCAGTGGCTCAATGCAGCGATCGCTAACACATGTCTCAGTGCACGCATTTCTACACGTGTACACACGCATGCCTACACGTGTACACACGCATGTATACGCGTGTACACACGCATGAGTGTCTGAGCATGCATGTAGCCGGGCGGTGGTGGCTACGCACGTGGCTTGTAATCCAGCACCGGTGGAAGCAGCGAGAGTATTTGGCTACTAGAATTTCCCGCGTGATAAACCACTTCGTTGAGCTATCATTTGTCGCTTCTAAAAATGAGCTACATAGCTCAGTGGGCCTCACCTGATAAAATAAAAAGTTTAGTTTTAAATATAATCTGTCCCTTCTTTGGTCCCTTGCGCACAAGGGGGGTTTCTCCAGATGCTCCAGTTTCCTCCAATATGTATGGACACTCGCTGATTGGCTGGAAACATCTCAATATATAGAGCACTGTAGAGCGTGGGCTATTGTTGGTACCAGCTCACTGCTTGGGCTGTTGCCTTCCCACTCGGTTCATCAGCGAATGTGGGATGCAATTCGAATGAACGACCACGCTGTATATAAAACTAAACATAACATTTTCGTAATTATGATGCATGCGTGTGTACGCGTGCTCATGCGTATGCCTATACACGTGCGTATTCATTCGTAGGTGTGTGCGTGAGCACGTGGGCACGCGCGTGTCGCGACATCGTGGCCTGCGGCTAAGCTCGGCCCCAGGCGAGTCTCCCCGCCAACAAACAAAACAACAACAAAAGCAACAACAAAAGCAACAACCGTAACGGCCACGTCCGGATGACGACGACGACGATGACAACAGTGGTGACTGGAGTGGTAACGCTGGGTTTGCATCCAGAGCCATCCCACATCCTCCTCGGCGTTGGGGAGACAACTCCGGCTGGTGTCCACGCACGTCGGCTTGCGGTAGCGGACGAACTGACGCCTCTAGGATTTGGGGGACGAGCGGGCGGACACAAAGCTGCCCGTACGGTGGCGGCGGGCGGCGTTGGCGCTTCCACCGGTACCCACACGGCCGTGCGTGTGCCGTGAGCTCGCCACTCCCCCAGCGCCGTGCATCGTGAAGCGGGCAGCAGCCAGCGGCAACTGGGAACGATCGCTCGGAACGTTGTCGAGGCTCAACCTCCAAACGGAGTGGCTCATGTACCATGGCACCTCCTGGGCCTCATCGATGGCATCAACACCCCCCATCCAACCCCCCTTCCCTCCCGCCCCACCCCCCTTTTGCGACAGACAGCGTCCTACAGCCGCCACATTTTGGTCAGCCTGGCACACAGCACACTCTTTACCTGCTTTGCAGTCCAAACGAGCTCAACGACAAGACGATGTAACATAATTTAGGAGATTCTGCCGAGACAAGGTTTAAGCCCTGTAGCGTCATTGGGGTGCGTGGGGGGACTGAGAGGGTGTGGAGGGGTGGCGTGGTGGGGCCGGGGGGCTGAGCAACCCCAAGCTGGAGGCTCAGCCCCCTCCCCCCCTTCTATATTCTTAGTCAAGTCAAAAAAATGTCCGTAAAATATTTAGCACCAGTAGCGTTTTTTCCTTCAAACTTATCCCCGGTTTGGCGAAATCCCATAACCATGAACAGCCCCTACCCTATCCACACACGGGCGGCGGGGTGAGACAGCCCCAGGTAGAATGCACGGCAGACGAAAGCCGATCCTATCGTGACTCCCTCTGGCTCACGTTTGCTTAACATCGACGGTGCCGTGCCCCCCCCCCCGACCTCTCTAGTTTTTACATTGACCCCCCCCCCCCAAACCCAGCCACCACTGCCGCGAATCCTCCGGCAGCGGCGGAGGCGACCGAGCCGCGTGCGACGAACGAGAGAGAGAGACGGCGTGGGGGGGGGGGGGAACCGGCGGCCCGGCGAGTCTGCCCGTACGCGTGGGTGGCCGGCGGGCGGGCAGGCGGATGGCGTCGTCCCGGCTAGAGGTTCTTCATGCACACCTGGCAGCGGCTGACGCGGGTGCGCGGCTGCCCGGCCTTGAGCGTCTCCGGGCGCGGCGCGTCGGCGAACTGCTGGGCCTCCTCCACGGCCGTGAGCCAGAAGCTGTACTTGTTGGCGAAGAAGTGGCAGGTGCCGCGGGCTCCGTTGCACTCGATGAAGGGAGTGGCGCGGAAGTCCTCGAGGCACGAGCCGGGAGACGCCAGCGACTGCCCGCCGCCCTCCGCGCCCGCGGCCGTGTGCTGTTGGAGGGGGGCGGTGGGGGTACGTGTGGGCAAAGAGGGAGACGGATTTGAGCAGAGGCAGGCACGAATGGACACGCGTGGACGATTTTGCAGACGATCGAGGGCAGGCCCGGGCCACAAGAAAACCCGCCGATGTAATTAAATGCAAAAAAATGCAGCAAACGTCAAGAACGGTTAAAGATGGGTTACTCGAAACCGGCAATCCGAGGCAGGCGCCGTATTGGTCAAGCAGGACGAAAGATTCGTGTTACAATGGAAGGGCAGCAGAAATGTATTGAATACTCACGCAGAGTGGCGTCTGCTGTGGCAGACAGTGTGCACATTCAATCGCAAACCAGACGTTCTGTATTCGGCCACCATACCGCAGGTAAATTCCCTCCCAACAGTCTCGTTTCCCAAGTCCCTTTAACCTTTGCTCAATTCGAGAAGCTCCAAGCGATTAAAACCCAGAGAAAGCAACGTGAGCAGAGGAAGACAGCGGGAGAGGAGGCAGCAGAAATACCGACATCAAAGAGTTCGGAGGCTGCTGCCGGCCAGCAGCAACGAAGGGAAGGGAGGAATGGGAGAGTGTGGGGTAAGACTTTTGCCCTGCAGTGGGAAGTTACAGGCCGACACCAACAACAAGAGCATTACAGAATCAGAAAATGTATTTATAATGGAGGAATCCGATGAGCTCTAAAGCTCTTTCTCAGAGATGTCCAGTAGGGGTGGGTAACGGCGTTACAACAAATTCAACCGTGCTGTTAAGTTTCTGGCCACTGGGCATTTTGTATCTTTGGGCCTGTCCACAGCAACCGTTACACAAACGAACAAACATCAACGACGACTAAAAAGCCGCACTACGGCTCGCGCCCGTAAACACGCAACGTCGGGCCAACTTTGACGTCGGTCCAACGTCCACTGACGTTGGTGCCCCAAACCTTCCACGTTCACCGGGAACCTCTGCGAGCCCCCCAATTCCCACCGCCACCGCCCGCCTCTCTCTCACCATGAGGAAGGAGTATCCGATCCAGAGGCTGCGGTATCCCACGGGGCACGGCGGGATGCTCACGTCCTGGCTATGCACGGCGATGGCCTGCGCCGGAGCCTCGCACACCGCGCAGCGGCTGACGTACGGCCGGATGTCGTCGTCGGCCACGGGCATCATTGGGATGGGCGCCGTCGTGGAGAGCCAGTAGGACTTGTCGTTGCGCGACGCGTAGTTGCACACCTCGTTGATGTTGCAGTAGACGAAGGGCATGGTGCTGAAGCGCGGCAGGCAGGAGCCGGCCAGCCCTGGTGTGGGGGGGGGGGGTTGCGGTGGCGGGGTCACGCGAAACGTTGGGTCTCGTTGGTAGTTAGGGTTTCGACTGTGCGGCGCATGGAACGTAACGTGGAATTGCGCGGTACATCTCGAGGTGTTCCGTACAGCGCAAGGCTTTCTCAAACTTTGTTGGGGCCCGCGGACCGCTCAGCCGATGCAAACATTTCCGTGGACCACCACCGAGCCCCCCAACCCCTGAGCCCTGGTGACAAAACGCAATCGCTTCTCTCTCTAAATGCCAGCAATACAACATGATTCATATTACCAGAAAATCATGTATATTTATTTTACGCAGCTATAAGGTTTTGATGGGGGGGGGGGATTTTATCTTAGGGTTTAGGTAGTTTAATCAGGGTAGTTTACCTAACTTAATTTAGTTTAATTAAATATAATTTGTCAAATATGAATTAATGTCTAAAACAAAAAGGGTAGACGTCATTATTTCTGGATCAACCTGCAGTCCCGCAGACCACCTGAAGGACCATCACGGACCACTGGTGGTCAAAGGACCACACTTTGAGAACCACTGTTCTAGTGTATCACACTGGGACGTCACGTGGCACGGTGGACCTCCATTTGGTGGAAGGTCGCTCATTCTCCTCCGCTGCCCCCCAAGGCTCTGGAACTCTCTTGCCCCAGCCATCAGCGCTTCCGGTTCCCCGCCCTCCCCCTCCCCACCCACAGTTTCTGCCTGTGACTGACTGCCTCTATCTCTGGAGAATAAATATTCCCACTGTGTTCGCGAAGCATCTTGAGGCGCGGTCGAAACCGACGGACAGCGATGGGAACCGGAATCACCACCGCGCAGCGTGGTTCACTATCCGCCAGGCTCAACAATCGACAATGAGTCATTCGCACGTGCGGCCACGTGGGGAACGTGGGCACTCCCTACACAAAGACAGAGATCCCCCGTATAAACTCACAGACTGTTGGAGCAAGTGCTGTTAGTGAGCACCTATGAATTCTAGCACAGCGCAAAACGGGGTGGTGTGATACGCACCATGCCTGGGCTACCTTTCTCTCGCCAAGTACTGTTTTTTACGCACCCCACGAGATACGAATTTTAAATTGAATGGACGTTTTCAGTTTCAGTTTATTTATTTTGGTATAGCCCTGTGAGCCATTCGGCTCTTGAATCGGGTGCAACCACAACAAACAAAAAAACTAAAACACGAACAAGAAAAACATCTTAAAGTGACTATGTGACTGTGCAAACAGAAAATCCATGAAAAAAAACAGCAAAATATTCCTGAAAAAAGCACCGTACACCAACGCTGTGTGCAAAAAAATCCCAGTGGGATGTAAGTCCAACAACAACAACCACAAGAAAACTTAGATTAAGGCCGTCAGTCTCCGTACTACAACAAAACAAACATGTGCAAACCAAAAACTTTTCGAAATCAACAAAAAATAAAGCCATAATTGCAACGTAACAGTGATCACAGGGACTGTGACCGAATTTTTACATTAAACTACATAAATAACATGTAACACCAAATCCTAGAGCAATAGCTGGCTGCTTGAGTTACTCCACAACAACAGAAGCATCAGTCGGAGAATCAAATTTTTCAATGCACCTTTAAGATCAGCACGCTAAATCAAAATACAGATAATACTTTGCAGCGTCATCCGGAGTGAAACATTTTATTTTATTTTACGCCAATGAATAGCAGTGGCAGCTAGGGGTGGACAACTCCTCTAGAGCAGTTTTGAGAGAAGATCTCATTGGTAGCAATTCAAGTTGCAGTTTATTGGCAATAGCATTCCAGACCCTGGGGGCATCAATAGCAAAGGCCCTTGCTCCAGTTTTTGTACGGCAATAGGGAATGTGAAGCTGGTAAATGAGCGAAGACCTGAGGTCAAATTTGTTCTTTGAAACAGAGAGGAGATCCAGCAGGTAGTCTGCGGATTTCTTTGTAAGTACATCGTGAATAAATAACATCTGGTGCACAAGCCATCAAATATTAAGAGATGTTAAGTTTGACCCAATGTAGAAATCACAGTGGTGAGTCCTATATGGGCAGTTCAATGTAAATCTTAAGGCCGAGTGATAGATGGAATCAAGATTCTTCAGTACAGTACTTGGGGCTGATTTATACACGATGTCACAGTAGTCAAGTAGAGGCAGTATGGTAGCTTTTATCAATTCCAAACGGAACATTTGGGGGAAGCCGTGCTTGTGTCGATACAGAAAACCAATTTAAAATGTTGTCTTTTTACCAATATAATAAATGTGATCTTCAAAATTCGGTTTTTAATCCAGGATGACCCCAAGATACTTATAGATATTGACTTGCTCTATTTGATAATTATTTAAGGAATGTAATTGGGGAAAAATAACTGCCTGTTTTAGTCCTGGTGAGAAGCATAGCACCTTGGTTTTGGAGGTATTCAGGTCTAGTTTAAGAGCAACTAGCTGATGTTGTAGTTTGCTGAAATCACCCTGTAGCTTAGCAATCACGTCATCCGGAGAGCAGCCAGCAGTAATCAGTATCGTCTCATCTGCAAAAAGATTTACCCTGGAATGATCCAGGTCAGTGCCCAAGTCATTGACATAAAGAGAGAACAAGAGGGGGCCGAGGATGGAACCCTGTGGAACCCCTTTTGTTATCTTAACACTGTTTGACCTCTAACCATCTGTGAATACAGTTTGGGTCGAGAAAAGAGGTAATTTTGTAACCATTTTACTGCGTTTTTGGAAAAACCGAGGCAACTTAGTTTACTAAGCAGGGTGTTGTGGTCTACTGTATCAAAAGCTTTGGACAGGTCTAGAAAAAGACAGGCACAGTACTGCTTATTATCAAGGCTACTGTAAATGTGATTCAGAGAGTATAATGCAGCAGATGTGGTGCTGTATTTTTTTCGGAACCCAGATTGTTTTAGATGTAGTAGATTGTTGGTGGACAGGAAACTGTTAATTTGGTAGGTCAATAATTTTTCAAACATTTTCATCAACGGGGACAAAATTTAGATAGGTCGGTAGTTATTTGGATCATCTTTAGGGCCCCCTTTGTGAAGTGGACGGACATAGGAATGTTTCCATTCTAGAGGAACTGATGCTTCTTTGATGGACAGGTTGAAAATATGGGCTATAGGTTTGTATATTAGGTGACCAACAGTCAATAGAGCAATCCACTTTCGTGGATTGGCTGGAAACTAAATTCGTTTAATGTTTGGACAGGGGTGTAGGAATTTGCATGAGCAGGGGTGACTCCCAATACATTATCAAAAAGATTACCAGCTTCAGAAAAATGAAGGTTAAAATTGTCAACTATTTTTTTGGGATCTGAAAAATATTCCCCATTTCGGTTAAGCTCAACGGGCAGATTGTCTGTTTTGGATGCCTTTTCGATACATTTAATTGTTTTCCATAAAATCCTGGCATTTCCATGTGATTCCAGGAGAGTGGAGGAAAAGTAGGCATTTTTTGCATGCCGTATTTTTTTGACGCATCTATTCCTTAAAATCCTGTATTCTAGCCAGTCATTGACCAAATTACTTTTCTGAGCACATGCCCTAGCCTTCTCCCTAGTTTTCATAAGCTTTGTAATCAAAGGATCAAACCATGGTGGGCGGTTGCCTTTAGTTTAAAATCTAACCAACGGAGCATGTTTGTTAAGAATTTGGAGAAACGTGTACCTGAAGGTCTCCCAAGCCGTAGTCAGGTTGGGGATATCACAGACCTTGTCAATATCCGAGTGAAGCACATCATTAGTAAATGCCTGAGTGCTGAAGTGTCTCATAGAGTGCTTCTCAACCAATTTAGGGGGGCTTGGGTCTGGCTGATGATCTCACCCCAAAAAATGAAGGAGTGATCACTAAGGTTATTACCCAGAACACCAGTCAGTGTGAAATTGTGAGGGGCATTTGTCAATAGGACGTCAAGCAGAGATGACTGTCCCGGATTTTTTAGGCTGGGTGTTGTTTTGACATCCAGGCCCGGTTAGGTTATCATTCGCCCCTGATGTTGGCCACAGCCGGGAATCAATTTAAGGTCGCTGGGTTCGTAGCGCTGTGAGCCAACCACTGCACCACTGTTCCCCAACGCCAGGCGTATGCATTGTGCATGCAGAGGAGGGAAGCGCAAACCATCGTGGGCAGCGTGGGAGGAACAGGGAATGGCGTGGGCGAGCGGGCTTCCCCATCGAACGAGCGTGGCCTTTAGTCAGCGGGAAGTGCCCCGTAGAAGCGGGAAGCACAACCACGCAAGGAAAACAGCAGCTGCCAGATTGTTTCGTCCCAATAGTAGTGTCCAAGCACCACACTGCAGGTCACAACACACTCACTCACCCACTCACCCACCCACCCACTCACTCACTCACCCACTCATCAACTCACTCACTCACTCACCCACTCACTCATCCACCCACCCACCCACTCACTCATCCACCCACCCACCAACCCACTCACTCACCCACCCACCTATCCACTCACCCACTCACTCACCCACCCACTCACCCACTCATTTTCCCACTCACCACGCTCCAGGTCACAATGCACTCACTCACCCACTCACCCACCCACTCACTCACTTACTCATCCACTCACACACTCACTCACCCACTCACCCACTCACCCACCCACTCACCCACCCACCCACTCACCCGTCTACTCACTCACTCACCCACTCATCTTCCCACTCACCACGCTCCAGGTCACAACGCACTCACTCACCCACCCACCTACCCACCCACCCACCCACTCACCCACCCACTCACTCACCCACTCACCAACTCACCCACCCACGCACTTAACCACCCACCAACTCATCCACTCATTCACCCACTCACCCACTAACCCACGCGCATACTCACCCACCCATTTACCCATCCACCCACTCACCCACTCACCCGCTCACCCACTCACACACCCACTCACTCACCCACCCACCCACTCACCCATCCACTCACCCACTCACTCACCCAGTCACCATGCTGCAGGTCACAATGCACTCACTCACCCACTCACCTACCCACCCACTCACCACACTGCAGGTCACAAGACTTCTCTCTGCTGCTTCTTCCATCGCACTGCTCCACAATGGAATCTCCCTCTGTCTCTTTCCCCCAAGTTCTTATAACCTCACTCAATTGAATACACGTGTTCACTCTAAGCTTGTGCTAACTGAACGTGTAGGATTTCGCAGCCAATATTATGTTTCGTGATTGTGTAGCAATACAGGAACGTGTAACTTATTTGGCTCTGTCCGGTAGTGGAGGGTTTACACGGAAAAACTTCGGGCCAGGTCGTTACGTGGCCTAAACTGACAAAAAACATTAATAAGGCCTAAGACTGGAGGACGTTTTCATATTTTGGCAAATGCGTGATGATGATGTTGGCTGTAACTACCAGCGAAACGTCCGCACTCAATTACTAAATGTTGAGAATCGCTCTCCAACAAGAACACTGCCGCTGGTGCTGCTGCTGAAGCAGCGATACATTGGCGTGTTTGTTCATCACGTGACAACTTTATTAATTTGCCTTGTCGGCCGGAGGAAGGGTGTACGACGAACATTTTACTCACACGACGATCTGACCCAAAAAATATTTGATTCATGAAGTGCTATTTGTTGCTGACCGCTTGGCGTTTTGGGAATTGTTTACAGTGTGCTTAGCAACTGTGATAAAAATATATTTTTACGAATAATAACATTTCTCGCTGGTTACGAACAACTACGCTTCGCTTCCCGGGCACAAAGGTCAACGCCGCACACGCACGGCCCGTGTGGTTAGTTCAACAGTGCGTCAGGACTCCAATGCAAAGATCAAGGGTCGTGGCAGTGTGATTGTGAATGATTCGTTCTTGTGTACGGCTTCGCACAGTTACTCACAATTCCATGTCCAGGTCCGAGAGCCAAAGCACAGCCTCGAGAGAGGCCAAATTATTCTTATTATTTTGTGCGTTAGGCGCGCATATGCCAGCAACGCCCCACTGAGTATCCAGAATAATTTTCAGGAGGGTCCTGCCAAGTTTTCGCAGTCAGAGCGATGTTGCTGTGTGTGCATAATCTCTCAGCATTTGGGATGTTTGGCCAATACCAGTTACATTTGATGTTTTTTTAGCTACTGAAGGAAACGGGAGAACCTGGAGAGAGAGAACAAACAAACTCCACTCGGAGAGGCTCCCGAGCCTTTATCGTGACGACGTATGGTTTAGCGATGGCGATGATGACGATGCGGAGGAGTGTCGGTGGGCGGCGAGCGTGCTCGGAGCGATGGACCACGCACCCAGGTCCTGGTTGTGGGCCTTCTCGCTGCCCTCCACGTACAGCAGGCTGAAGCCGTCCCACACTCGGCCCATGCCCACGGGGCACATGGGCACGCCGTCCGTCTGGCTGTGCTTCACGAGCAAGAAGCCCACGTTCATGCCGCGGCCCGGCATCCCCGCCGGGCCCGGAGTTCCGCTCCGGCCCGCTGAGCCTGCGCGAGCGGGACAGGCGAGTGGGCGAGATGATCAGGTCGCACGATCCACGGTTATCGCGCCGTCCGTTGTGCGGAACATCGTCGCGTTGTGATTCCCGTCGCTCTCTTAAATGCCCTTCAACATTATGAGACCTCCTTTGCCAGTAACAAGATATAGGAATAGGTTGCCAGTTAAAAGGGTAAAACTTATTCCTGCCCTTCAACACTTCACCCACCTGTCAAGGTTACAGACGAGACAATTGAAAAGGTTTCAGATTCATTTTATATCGTGACGTGTAGTTAAATGACGTTAAAAAATGTCCAGCTATTACCCCATTCAAGTATTGCTGCGCAGAACGGGTTCCTGAGTAAATTGGCCGCGTGGTGGTTACACGCCGTGATATATTTCTGAAAGCACGAGCGTGCTAAGAGTTTTATCGATGGTCAAGTTGCACTCATTGCAAGGCTCGTGGCAGGTTTTGTGTTGAGTGAACCACAGTTGAAGAACGTTTAAGCAATCCGCGTTCCTACTCAAAAGCGCTTTAAAGCGTCAAAACAAGACGATGAAATTGTAAGACGCAATTATATAAAAAAAAATACGGGAAACTGACATCGCGATAATCGTTGAATCGTGACGTGTAATTTCGTGCCGGGCGCACCCCGGGGTCGATTTGGTCACAGGCACCGTGCACAATAGAGGCAGCGCTTAACGGGCCGCTTCCCCTCTCCTGGTTAGGCCTGGCCCTCGGCTTGAGCGGTGGTGGCCGGGGCAGATGAGGCCACAGCTCCGCCACCACTCCGCATGCCTGTGACGCCCGCTCGCCCGCTCGCTCGCTCGCAAAGAACTTCGCGCAACTCTACGCGATGCTACCCACGTGCGGGCGCGCGGGTGTACGCACACCGCAAAAAGAAAACCCGTTCTCACGACCCGCACGAAGCGTTCACAGTTCGCCTTCCCCGCATCTATTTTTAGAACGAGCCCCGCAATGGGGCAGCTGTCCGCCGCTGACGAAACACTCGCGGTGTGTCCCCCCCCCCCCCACCGTCCCCCGCCTTTAAATGTCGACCAACGAAAGCCGCTCGCCAGTCAACGGCGAAACCAGATAAAGCTCCGTAACCTTTGCAAGTTACATGGAGCATGGCAACTATTATTTTTTTTTGTTTACCAGGTAAGACACACCGAGCTAAAGGGCGCTACCTCAACAGAGACCTGGCCACAAATGATGGGAGGGAAAAACCGGAGGACCCGAAGAAAATTCCACGCGACCGCGGGGGAGGGAGAGCGAGAGACGCGCACATTCCAAAATACAATAGGCGTCAGGGTTGGGATCGAACCCACGGCCTCTTGCTCTTTGTTTCTCTCGGTAAAGTGAGGCAGGTTAAAAAATAAAATAAAACAAAAAAATCGCGACGGTTCCATCGCGACACAAGCGGTCGTCTTCAGGCGGAAAAAAAATAATAATAATCCAGCAGTTGTGAAAAAAAATATTTCAGTATTATTTGATTTTGCTACCTACGTGACTTTACCGAAAGAACCAAAGAGTATGGATTCCTGCACAGTCTCGAAAGCTTCAAATCACGACCTCTTGTATACCGGGCGAGGTATTTAACGTCTCACCACCGTGTCGACGACCTGAGAGAGAGAGGGAATTCCTCACGCGTCGACTCCAACACCACTGTCCTCTTGGTCCGCGTAAATGATGGAGAAGGGTTGGGAGCAGGTTGGAGGGAGTGGGTTTGTGATGCGAGTTGCTATTAACGTGAGGAATTTGTTTACACAGGGGGTTAAGGCTAAGGACAGCGTTGTGAATTGGGTTTATGTGAGGTTCGAGGGCAAAAAAAACGAGCTTGGTTTAGGATGAGGATTTAGACGAAGTCTAGGTTGAGCTGAACATAAAAGGTCACCATTGCAGTGCGCCACCTTTTCCCTCGGCTCGGGGTCTCTTCCCCCTCGTGATATTGCGCCCACACTGCGTCAGTCACCGCACTGCCCCACCGCCGCCCCTACGCCCCTCCGCCCCTCCGCACCACCGCAACCACCGCACCACCGCACCACCGCACCACCGCACCACCGCAACCACCGCAACCGTGTCCCCGCACCGTGAGGCCACGGCGTGAACCCTCACCTTGCGGCCCGATCTTCCCGGGGAACCCCGAGTTGCCGGGGTCACCGGGCGACCCCGCGGCGCCGGGCCGCCCGTCCCGACCGTTCAGGCCGGGCAGCCCACGGTTGCCCCGATCCCCTGTACAATAATACACGCGCACGCAAAGACAAAGATCCCCCTCATAGCCCTCGCAGACTTGTGGGGCAAGCGCCGTTAGCGGACACCCACGGAGGCCAGCACGCCTGGCCACCTTTGTCTCCCCAGTGGCGATGCTTACGCACTGCACAAGGTGCTCATTTGAGGCTAAGGCAATCTAGGGGAGGCCCAGAACAGGTTCAGATAATTGAACCTCATGGCGGGACCCCGGGGTCCCATTAGCCTCCGGCTCTCGCATCAACATTATATTATAATGTAAACATTACATTGTAATGTAAACATTACATTATAATATAATATAAACAATATATTATAATGTAAACAAAGACTTTGCTCTTTTTCACCAATGTGTTTGAAGGATGGTGGCAAGTATCGTCTTGTTAGACTATGCCTTTAAAACTGAAAACTACTTACCTGCAGTACCTCTATTTAAATACACCTGAGAACATTTTTATTTACACCCCTCTGTCAATCATCGTGTTTCTCGTGTGGTTTTGTGAACGCACTTTGTAAACAGTAGATACAATGGTACGCGTTTTCAATGCGCTGTTCATACTGTAACAAGCGTTTATACCAATGTTACTCTACAGAGTAGTGGGTCGCCGCTCCTCTTATCCGCATTGATACGAGCGGTATGTTGGGACTATGGCTTAACCGCAAAAAAAGACAAACCTATCTGCACATATGCGTACGGTCAAGAGATGTGTTTATTATCAAACAGGAGGAATTAACGGTGCAACGCATCTCATCTGTTAAATATCTGCAGGTAATAGGATTGTAATCCATTGATCCTGGCTGCAGACATTGGTAGGTCACAAGTAATAATGAAGATAAGGGAGCAGTTTCACTGTATTATGCATACCGTTATGACATATAAAGGACTTAAGTCGTGTAGGCAGTTTGAGCAGCTTTGGATAAGACTTGTTATGATCCTGCCCATACCCGAGCATGAAGTGCATTCGCTTGTTCAGCTCTTCTGCACATTCGATCTCGCTGCGCTTGGACACGACACGACAACAGAACGATCCGCGCCAGCAGGGTCGCGGCGTTTATGTGCGCGGTGGGACGGAGTCGCCAAAAATAAATCAATCAATTACGATTTCGACTTCCGTTTACTCAGGACCCCGGGGTGCCCGCCATGAGGTCCAATTGTCACCGCCACACTACCGCTCCGCACAAACATGTACATGCACACATGCTGGGGTCACGGGGTCAACTCCACACACACACGCATGCCCAGCCTCCGGGTGCAACAGGGAGGCAGAGGGGCAACAGAAGACGCTCTTCTTACCGAAGAGACGTGCTGCCAAATTACGCGAGTGCCGCTCTCGTTAAGGACTAGTTTCAATCCGATCTTTACTTCGCCAGGAGATGGGAACAGGCCATGAAGACAAACTGTAAACTTGGGCGTGTTCAAAGATGGCAACTGCAATGACATTTTACACCGAAAAGTGGCACCCTGTGCCCGTCAGTGGAGCCGCACGTCGGCTGCGCAAGAACTTCGTCCGCCTCGCGAGCCCCACGCTTTGGCTGCCCCTGCTCCCCCAAGTACTCTTAGGAGTCCCGCTGCCATCGCCACGGAGGATCCTGCCCACACTCCGAGCCTCACCTGACTGGCCCTGCAGGCCCTTGGCTCCAGCGTCGCCCTTGAAGCCCATCTGACCCGGGGTGCCGGGAAGGCCGTTGGACCCGCGCGCCGCTTGGACCTTCATTGGCTTCCCGGGCGGGCCTGGAGGGCCCTGGCCGCCCGCTACGCCTGCGGAGACGAACGGCGACGTTGACATTTTACTCGGTGGGGTCTCGTCACGACGGGTCGGGAACAACGCTGTGTGACGTGCGCTGACGTCAACATCATCTTCATCAACAGCAATATCACAATAATCGTTTTCATCGTCATCATCATCATCATCTTCATCGTCATCAATATCGTCATAGTCAACGTCATCACCGTTTTGGGCGCTGTCCTCAGAGGTGTGGGACGACCACAGACGAGTGGGGAGGCAGCAGCCAGAACCGACCCTACCAACAATTTTGGCCAAGCTCTGTGGCCCTATACCGGGATATTAACGGTGCATGCATGTCTTTTGCCCCGTACGTAGCCAACCGTGCTAATCGGAGGTGCGGTGTTTACGATAATACTTTAATACGTCGATGCTTTTGGGCATGATGGGTATTATCGCGTGTCTACTTCAGTGCGACGAGGTTACCTGTAGGCCCCGTGCTTCCCTTTGTTCCAGCGGATCCTGGATCGCCCGGGAAACCCCGCGTTCCGGTGGGACCCTGAGAGCCAGTGTCTCCCCGCGGTCCTGAGGGCACAACAAGACGAAGATCCCCCGTATAGCCTTGACAGACAGTTGGGGCAAGTGCCGCTAGCGAGAATCAACGAAGGTCGGCACGGCCCACGAGGGGATGATGTGGCTACCACCATACCCAGTCACCTTTGCCTTCCCAGTTTTGGTGTTTACACATCACACCAGATACTCATGTACAGCCGAGGCAATCTAGCTGAGGACCAGGACAGATTCAGATGTCACCCGCCACTGATTGTAGCTGTGGCCCGGGAATCAAACTTAGGTTGCAGCGCAATGCGCGGAGCATTGCACCACAGCTCGTGAGACATTCAAGGTTCTATTCAGGTAAATACATATTCTGATAAGAGGTGAGGACGGCCCTTACATGGAACGCAAAGCTGTGCCCAGGGAAACAGCGAACGTGTTCCCGAACAAACAGGGAAACTGTCCCGGATGAATTCCACGCAAAAAGGGACCCATAGTCTAGAAATAATCCGCGGCGAGCAAACTCACGCTCCGGGGAATTCATTGTTTAACACCGACTCAAGTTTGTGCGGTTTTGTTTTTAATTTTACGTATTTTTTGCTCCGAGCTCTATTTGCTTCAAATGCCGAACTGTTTTAAAAAAATAATTTGGGGGGAATTTCGGTCGCCCAGATCACACAGCCATATGACACTCGGTCCCTTGCCTCTTGACTTCCCAGCTGGTTCAGCAAAATAAACTTTAATCCTCTTGAACTCACCCATGACGGTCACAGATGCTGGCGTGCTACTGGAAATGTACAGCGTTTTTTGTTGTACCAGCCAAGGGCTGATTGCTGGCTGAATGGTAACAAGTTGCCATCAACTGCATGGGTGTCAAGGGCTTAACGTCAGCTGGTGATGTCCATGTAGGTAACCCCAAAAAATATTTAAACACCCGGCACACCACATCTCCTTATGCCTGTCGCTACGAGTTACTGTACTTGCCATGTACTCCACCATAAAATATTCAGTGAGTAATTAATCCCTGATGGGGGAGGAGAGGGGTCACAGTGAGGACGGACAAAGATCCCCCGTATAGCCTGAACGTAATGTTGGGGCAAGTGCTGTTAGCGAGTAGCCATACCTGTCAACTCATACGGTTTACCCCGTATTCTTGTACAGGGAAATTGAGTTTACAGGTCCATACGGCGTACAGCCGTTTCAATACGGGCAAAATAAAATGCCTATTTATGTGTGTCCCTTGTGATGGGACTTTGTAGGATGAACGTTGAGATTTATAAGGAGCACGGGTGATCAATACTGTCTGAATTGGTCTGTCGTAAGGTAGGGCCCTGATAAGGGGTTGACAGGCATGAGTAACACCTATGAAGGATGGCACGGCACGAGGGGGTTGGTGGCCAACACCACGCCCGGCCGCATTTGTCTCCCCAGTGGCGATGTTTACTACACACCGCACCGCACCGGGTACTCATTTGAGGCTGACTCCGAATTAGGGGAGGCCCAGGACCGGTTTCAGATAATCGCCACCGCTGCTGGTGGCCGTGAGCGGGGAATCGAACTTGGGGCACGCCGGGTTCGTGGCGCGCGACGCGCTAACCGCTGCGCCACCACTCTCCCTTTAGTACAGCCGAGATGTGGTCACATGACCAAGGGCCTCACATGACCAAGGGCCCCACATGACCAAGGGCCGAGGCCGGCAGCCAGGTACTCATTTTAGGCTGAGGCGACCTAGGGGAGGCCCAGGATCGGTTCAGGTAATCGTAGCTGTGAACTTGTGTCGCCGGGGTTCGTAGCGCGGCATGCGAACCGCTACACCACACTTCCGCTCCGCACAACAAGAAGAAACACACACACACACCCTTTAGGCCGGCGATCCCAGGAGGGCCTGGCCCGCCAGGTCGTCCGCTGTTGCCCGCGGGCCCTGCTGGGCCGTCCGGCCCATTATCTCCGGGTGGCCCCCCCACCCCCTTCGCTCCAGTGAGGCCGGGTGTGCCGGAGGGCCCAAACTTGCCTCTTGGACCTGCACGCCAGCACGTGGTCGCAAGCGCTTGTACGCACAAACAAGGGGCAAAGGAGCTGCCCTCCGATCTCGCGCTCGCTCGTCCCACTGGTGACGGAAGGGCTTCCAATGAAGGGAGCTCTCGAGGACCCCCCTCAAGAGGGTATTTTGTCAGACCCTTCCATGCTGGTCAGACGTTTTGCAATATGTATGTTGAACTTCTTTCGCACCGTACGTAGCCAATCATGCGAATTGGAGGTTCGGGGGGAAAGGACAACAAACTAAAACGCAAAAAGCAGTTCTAAAGAAATTCGTTTTAAATCTGGATGATTGAATAGTTCATAGCTCCAGTGGCTTCCTAATATCGGAAGGAAGAGCGTTGCAGATGGCCGCAGAAGCGCGTCTGAAAGCGCCGCGCGATGTGGTGACCGTCTGGGTGGAATGGCCGTTGTTCGCGTGGTGGTTCATGCTCCTTGACGAGAATGCAATAGGTGAGAGGACCCACATTTTACCCCCACCACACGCGGACCTGCCAATCACAGACTGACTGTGCCACACGAATTAATACTGCTTCGTGGACAGATTCGGGGGCGGGTTTAAGAAACTCGCCGCATCGTCGTTTCAAGTGGCGTTTAAGCAAAAACCGGTGACCTCTGGAATTGCAAGTCCATTGCATTGACCATGACTCGATTGTAAGGGAGGTCGCAGGCAAATCGAATCTATTTCGTGGGCACAAGCGCCCCCTGCAGCGCGATAATTAAAATGCACCAGGAGTGAGCAGATGCAACATGGCTCAGTGACAGGGCTTCAGACACAGGTCCATAAAGACGGGGGTGCAGGAAGACGGGGGTCTAGGAAGACGGGGGTTCAGCAAGACGGGGGTTCAGCAAGACGGGGGTTCAGGAAGGGATCAGGAAGACGGGGGTTCAGGAAGACGGGGGTCTAGGAAGACGGGGGTCCATGAAGACGGGGGTCTAGGAAGACGGGGGTCTAGGAAGACGGGGGTTCAGGAAGACGGGGGTGCAAGAAGATGGGGGATCAGGAAGACGGGGGTTCAGGAAGATGGGGGATCAGGAAGACGGGGGATCAGGAAGACGGGGGTTCAGGAAGATGGGGGATCAGGAAGACGGGGTTCAGGAAGACGGGGGATCAGGAAGACGGGGGTTCAGGAAGACGGGGGTCTAGGAAGACGGGGGTCCAGGAAGACGGGGGTCTAGGAAGACGGGGGTCTAGGAAGACGGGGGTTCAGGAAGACGGGGGTCTAGGAAGACGGGGGTCTAGGAAGACGGGGGTTCAGGAAGACGGGGGTGCAGGAAGATGGGGGATCAGGAAGACGGGGGTTCAGGAAGATGGGGGATCAGGAAGACGGGGGATCAGGAAGACGGGGGTTCAGGAAGACGGGGGATCAGGAAGACGGGGGTTCAGGAAGACGGGGGATCAGGAAGACGGGGGTCTAGGATGGCTCTCTACCTGGAAATCCTTGTGATCCTGGGGGACCCTGGTCCCCTTCTTCGCCTGGCAGGGGAGCAGGGAAACCTTGAGCTCCAATGGGACCAGGGGGACCCTCGACACCCGGTTCACCTGCAGCCACGTTCAGGCACAACACAGTGTGGACACCGCGTGAGTAGCATCTAGAAACGTCCAGCAGCATCCCGCCTTGCGTGATGCTATGTAGAGGCAGCCGTACGAAACGCTTATTCCTATTCGCGCGACGTAGCTCCGTTCATACTCTTTGGTTATCTCGGTAAAGTCACGTAGGTAGAAAAAATTATAGATCACGACATTTCGACCGCAACACAAGCAACCGTCATCGGGCGGAAGCAATCGTCATCCTACATGGCTTTACCGAAAGAACCAAAGAGTATGGATTCCTGCAATCACAAAAGCTTCAAATCAGGATCGTTCCGTTCACTCGTTCGCGTTATACCAAATTCGCATCCGCGTTATAAAACACCTTTTCCCTCGTACATGAATTGCGTTATATCAAATTCGCGTTATGAAAACACGCGTTTGAGGAGAACAGGCGGTACTCACCAGAGCAGCCTGCAGAGCCACCCGACCCCCGGCACGGCCATGCAGAGTGGCGCCACGGGACGGGACCGAGGGCACAACCAAACACAGGGGCATACGCGGTGAGAGAGCGCTCATCCACCACAAACCACCACAGTTCACGGGAGCTGTGTGTGTGATGATGATGAGGATGATTATGAGGATGTTGATGATGATTAGGAGGATGATGATGAGGATAATGATGAGGAGGATGAGGAGGTGGAGGAGGATGATGAAGATGAGGGGGAGGAAGATAATGAGGAGCTGGAAGACAAGGAGGAGGAGGATGATGATGATGAGCAGGAGGATGATGATGAGGAGGAGGAAGATGATGATTAGGAGGATGATGATGAGGATGATGATGATAAGGGTGATGCTGATCATGAGGATAATGTTGATGATAAGGATGATGATGAGGAGGAGGAGTATGATGATGAGGAGGAAGAGGAGGAGGAGGATGATGAGGATGATGATGATGAGGATGTTGATGATGATTAGGAGGATGATGATGAGGATGATAATGAGGGTGATGCTGATCATGAGGATAATGTTGATGATAAGGATGATGATGAGGAGGAGGAGTATGATGATGAGGAGGAAGAGGAGGAGGAGGATGATGAGGATGATGATGATGAGGATGATGATGATGATGAGGAGGATGATGATGATGAGGAGGAAGAGGTGGAGGAGGATGATGATGAGGATGATGATGATGATGAGGAGGAGGATGATGATGAGGATAATGATGATGATGAGGAGGATGATGATGAGGCGCTGGAGGACAAGGAGGATGAGGGTGTCGAGGAGGTGATCATGTTGAGATAAAATGAAGAAAAAGGCTTTAATACCGGAGGTGTTTAGATGTTTGAACACCAAATAAGACACCTGGTACGGGGCATCGAGTCTGCATTAAGCACAGAGACTGTGCTTAACGCAGAAAAGAGTCCCATGGATAAATCTGCTTGAGCCCGAGTGTGGAGGCGGATGTTTTCCAGGCCTCACCAATGTCTCCCTTGACTCCCTTTTCCCCGGGGATGCCCTGGGGACCGATTCCCAGGGCCGGGATCCCAGGCACGCCCTTGGGACCACGGGGACCACTGAGGCCCTCAGATCCGGGCAGCGAGGAGCCTGCTCAGCGACGAGGGATACCGCACCATCATCATTGTTACCGTCAATTCACCATCAGTGTCATCACTGTCATGAAGCGATGGGATAGCCGCTCATCACCAGTATCATCATTGTCACTCTCCATCGTTAGCAGCATCGTCATCATCATCATCATCATCACTGTCCCGCACCTCCGATTAGCACGGTTGGCTACGTACGGTGTGAACGATGTTCAACATCCATCAATCATCATCAAAATATGAATCATATCTTCTATCAATCAGCAGCATTTCCACTGCTGTCGATTGCCATCATTATCATCACTGACATTGTATCATGAACGCAAACTGCCGCGACGATTAGTGCGGTTAGCTACGTACGGGTGGAAGAAGTTCAACATACGTACGTACAAAATGCTGTGTTACAGAGATGGGGGCTTAAAAGTCGGTGAACTGCTGTGAGTTCAGATACAATGGTGCCGGTTCATAAGTCGATTTGCTCAATTTTTCTCCTGTTGATTCCAAAGATGTTGTACGGCATGTACACTAAACACAGGGGGAACAGCGTTAAAAGTTGTATAATCTCCTGTAGATGCCACTGGTTCTTCATCTATTCATGTTCTGCAGATGTAAATGCCACCACGGCCATTTATTCGGCGGTGGTTGAACTTACGACTCTCGGTTCCGAACAGGCAACTGGACATACGGGCAGGTTTGTTTGTATCACTGAAAGCTCGTAAGTCGAATGTTCGTAGGTAGAGGAGCTCCTGCAGAGGCGACATCGATGGGCCTGAGTAAAAGTCACATGGGAGGTGGCGTTAGCTCGGACTCACCCGGAGATCCCTGGAGCCCCTTTTTCCCGGGGACTCCATCCAGTCCGTCCGTCCCCGGAGATCCACGGGAACCTGACGAGGAAAAAAAAGGTGTAACACTCGTGTGTGACAATAACAACAGCGGCAATAATAATAATAATGAGGGTATCCAACCTGTAACGGGCACAGCATTCGCTCGCTCTCGAAAGAGGAGAAAGAGAACGGCTCAAGAGGGGCGAGGAGGAACCACGGTGAGCAAGGCAGGCAGCGGCGATGAGGTGAGTACGGCAAACAGCTTGCGGTGAGTGAATGCGGTCAATACATTTTTTTTGCGCAGTTATTCAGCACAGGCCCGAAAGGTCCAAAACATCAAATGGCCAGCAACAAACAGCACACGCATGAAGGTGGTAATAGGCACGAGTGTCACACGTCTTCTTGAATTGAGCAAAGTTATTTTTGTTATGTGAACTTGGGGAAAAAGAGACGATGGGAGGGAATCCAAAGTGGAGCGGTGCGAGGGAAGAAGCATCAAGTGCTACCACCTGCAGTGTGATGAGCGGCGTCAGTGAGTGTGGTGAGTGCGGCCTGGTTGTTTGTCGCGAGGCTGTTTGCTAAGGAAACCTTTTTGCCCGGTGGGTCCTGTCGGGCCTGGAGTGCCACGAGGCCCTGGTTGGCCCTCAGACCCCGCGGCGCCCAGCAAACCCGGGCTGCCTGGATTTCCAGCGAACCCTGCACACACACACACCACACACACACACCACACACACCACACACACCAAACACACACCAAACACACACAGTGGTCACCGCCCCTCATCATGGCTACAAACACCGCACACCTCATCAAATACGTTCAACACCACAATCTTCGGATTATAAGAAACAATTGGTGAGGGTGTCTTATAATCTGGAAAGCAATACAGTACACAAAATTCGTGATCTGATCCCATCCGTGAAGGATGTCATTCCTGACTTACAGTACCCCGGGGTTTACAAATTGAGTAGTACCTGCGGTGATTGCTATATCGGGGAGACGAAGCGACATGTCTCTGACCGAATTCGCGAGCACAAATCAGATTTGAAACACGGCAAAACAATTTTTTCTGCCGTGGCTGATCACTGTTACAACGCTGTGGGTGATCACGATATAATTTTCTCCGATACCAAGGTTCTTTGCAAACCCACGGGTTTCTATCAGAGATTTGTTCACAAGGCAATTCAGATCTACAAACACAGACACAATTTCAACCGAGATGGTTTCAAATTAAGCAACCATTGGAAAGATGTTCTAAATCGAACCAAACATTAAACTAATTTCTCAGTGGTACAGTATATTTTCAAGTAGTGGTACCCAAAACTTTCGCAGCTTAAAATCCCCTTTTCACACCACCAGCTTGTGGACGCTGCCGTGCCACCTCGCCAGCCTGCACAGGTCGACCCCCTCCCTACCTTTCATCATGCTAAGTCCGCCTATTAAAATACAAATTTTTATGCTAATTCCTTTGTAAAGGCACCTTAATCCCTCTCACACAACTTAAAGGCCGTGGTCTGAGCTTGGCTCTGTTTCACTCCAGCGCAGTCTTCGAGACAGGCTGGTCCCTTCACCTGATGAAGGCCGCTTGTGTTGTGGCCGAAGCGTCGTGATTTTTGTTGTTTTATTTTTTTACCTACGTGACTTTACCGAATAGAACCAAAGAATCTGGAAAGCACCCTGATTTATGTTTTCATCGAATTGTTCAGAACCATCTCCCAGACGACTCCTCTCGCCAGATTAAAGCAACGCGTTAATAATCATCGAGCGGAAGAGAGCTCCCCACGGTGATATTCCCACCTCCGATTACCACGGCTTGGCTATGTCCGGTGCGAAATAAGTTCAACATACATACATACACCATACATACAACATACATACAACATACATACAACATACATACAACATACATACAACATACGTACATTATCCTGATTTGAAAACACACCGTCTTTTTCTTCTTCGACATGACCGTATCATTTGGGGATGCACCCTCAATCAAAGTCATCAATTGGTGAAGCGCAGTCATCGGGAATGGCAAATAAAGTGGGAAGGCAGCCAGAGCCGGTACCGAAAATTGCCCAAGCTCTGTGGCCCTACAGTGGGATATTTGCGCTAAACTCCACTCTTGAGTGATTGTACATGTTGCAGGAAACTCGAGGAGAACCAGGAGAAAACCCACATGTGCGAGGTGGCACAATACTCTGTCCCTGTACAGATGAAAACAGATGGAAATCAATCCACTTGTTGCAGTACTGCAATCGCCTAGCAAACCAGGGTATGGCGACCTCGGCACCCGCGGGAAGGGAATTTGACAACATTTTTGTGGCCCACGAACTCTTTGCCTCCGTAGTGTTAATTTTCAGGCGCGCGCCTCCACCGACTGATCTTGTCGGGCTTCTGATAATCTGGAGAATACGGTCCCGTCCACCACATGACCCCCCTACTAGCAGCCGAAAGCCCACGAGCAGGCCGATGCTGTGTACACATTGTGCCACACAGTGATAGCTGTCGCTAGGGGTCACCCTTGGCTATGCATGAAAATCCCTGAACACTTCAAACCTCATTCCGATCCCTCCACTCGCTGCAAGCGGAGCAATTTCAATCTGGGAGGCGACACGATCTCCTTTACGCAAGAGGCTGCGCTAATATCTTTCCCGACGGACGTGAGCCAGCGGTCGGTGGACATTCCACGTCCCTTTGGCGTGGGGTGAAGGAGAGCAACGGCGAACGCAGTACCGGCTGCACCCGCACGGCCGGGGTCTCCCCGCGTCCCCTTGGCACCCAGAACCCCCGGCAGTCCGCTCGGTCCCCTCTGGCCCAGGTCGCCCTCAAAACCATGCCCACCTGCACAGCGTCACACACACAGGAGAGCGGCGTCTCGCGCTGACCCAACACGTCGCTCCGTTTCGTTACTGCGATGTCAACGTGAAGCGTGGCAAACCGTCGGCACCCCCCGAGGTGCGTATAGCCGGCTCTGACGTCCGGATGAGAAACGTTTGGCGTGGAATGGAGAAAGTTGGACGGGAGATGTAAAGCGCACCCTTGGTCGCGGGACAGGAAGAGGAACGGCGCGTGGTGCAGAGAGAACGCGGGCAAATTGGAGAGACGTTGTGTTGAGTGCTGCTAACGGTGGGCTCGGGCAGCACAAGTCACGGGCAGGGGATGATTATTACCGATCGACGAGGACGACGGCTTGCGGACGTCGTGGGACCATGCGAGGCATGGCGACGATCCAGCAGTGGATAGGCCATGGCTAATGATGTTGATGATAATGGCGTGGGTTAGCATGACACACCCAGCAGGAAATAACTCCTCTGATTAATGATTAAACAAGCTATTAATGTGGCACACCGGGAATAATCTAAAATATGACTTTACCATCACCGCACACTGCACATAGGATCAAAGCGTTCTGGGAATGTGCGTTGAGAGACGAGTGTGAGAGGCGGTGGATTTGCTTCACCTGGCTGCCCAGGTAAGCCTGGTTCGCCCCTTGACCCGGGGCTTCCAGGTATGGCAGTGGCATCTCCGGGGTCCCCTGCAGCACAGCAGCAACAGCACAACACCAGAGGCTTTATAGATGGTTGGGGCAGGCGCTCTCCACAACACTCCGAGCGAGCGTCGATGTCTTCAACACCAAGCCAGGTACTCGAGTGTGTAACTTCATATCCTAAAAACTATAAACGAGATTTTTGTTATGAGCTAAGTAGCTCTTTTTCAGAAGCGACCTGGCCGCAAATGATAGCTCAACGAAGTGGCTTAACGCGTGGAAATTTATAGCGGCTAAAAATTCCAAACGCACGTTCATTCTGAACGTGGAGGAGAAAATCGGTAGGCCCGGAGAAAAATCCACGCGGCCACGGGGAGAGAGACATACAAACTCTAAATATACAGCAGCAGGTGTCAGGGTTGGGATTGAACCCACGACCTCCTGCACACCAGGCGAGGTAGTTAACATCTCGCCACCGATGGCGGCGGCAGTCGTCGGGATGCGACGGGGAATTGTTTAATTATTTTATTGTTTATTCACCTTCACTTAGAATACGGGACGCTGTGGGGTCCGAGGAGACTGGCCTGAGTGAACCTCGTGGGTGAAAATGTCGACATATATCGTGCAGCGGTGGCGAGTGGCCAATGGTGGAAGAACGGTGTCCCTGAGAAAAAGTCAGCCTGAAACCTTGCTGGAGAACAGCAGGCCAAACGTCCAAACCCTGACAAACTCGTGAAATACGCTCACAAGTAACTGTGGCATCCCAATCTCTGCTACATCAGATTTAAAACAAAAAATCTAAATGTGGAGGGAAAAACCGGAGGACCCGGAGAAAAATACACTGGACCACAGGGAGCACATGCAAACTCCAAATATACAGGCATTGTCAGGGGCGGGTTCAAACCCATGTCCTCCAGTATACCAGGGAAGGCAGTCAACATCTATCCATGGGAAATTAATGAATGTTTCATACAGACGGGAGGAAACTGGAGCACCCGGAGAAAAGCCACGGCGATGGCAATTGCCATCGCCGTAAAGATGGAAACAGGTGGCGATTAGTCCACCTGCTGTACTGCCTTCTGGTGAGCCAGCGTATGGCACCTCCCTGACGCCCACAGGAAGGGAGGAGTGTCACAACATTGGTGGGATGATCCAACGATCCTCGCTGCTGCCTCCACAGTGGTGGATCACAGAGAGCCATGTGCAGCATCGCAGCTACCACCACCACCGCTCTCGGCTAAGAGGCAACAGCCCAACTCTCACAGCGAGCCATCACCTTTTGGGCCTTGGAGTCCATCGTTTCCTGGTGGGCCTGAAGGCCCCTGAGAGCCCAGTTCACCCTTTTAAAGCAAAAAAAAACCACACACAGACACACAGACTAAGACAAATATCCCCTATGCAGCCCAACAGGATGTCCGCAGCCACTGTTGTTCGCGAGCACACCGATTAAGGCTGGCATCAGAGAATACGTTGTCTCTATTGTTTGTTCCACCCAGGAACGAACAATATTTGTTTGTAACAAACTCATCCTTTTTTTGTATGTAAGTCTATGTGCACACATTTTAAACACGTAGACTTTTGCGACCAATATCATCTATAGTAGAAGTTTTGGGTTGGATCGTGTAAATATATGTGTTAAAATTATTTTTGATTTCTTTCAATATCGATAGATTCTCTAATTAGTCTTAGCCAGTAGTAGCTAGTTTTGCACAGAACTTCAACATTATCAAAATAATTTGAGTGTCCTCATTTGCACGCGTGTTCTGCTACTGCTGACAGTTGTATTTGTGAGTATTTCATATTTCTTTGGTGTTCTTTTAGTCTCATGCTGATCATTCGTCCTGTTTGCCCAACATAGCATTTGCCACAAGTGCAGTTAATCCGTAACACACCTTCTGTTGATAGCTTCGGTAATACAGGTGTGTATCGGATTAACTGCACTTGTGGGAAATGATGTTGGGCAAACAGGACGAATGATCAGCATGAGACTAAAAAAACTAAAGACTAAAAAAACACGAAAATAATATAAAATATTAAAAATAATTTTAACCGTTTGGATAGCTACTGACTTAGTGCTGCGTGGAAGCGAATCATCAAATAATACATTGTTTAAATGCATGCCTATACAGGCCACCATACTACAATAGGGATTACCGTTGGTACAGCGATTTTAATACACACAATAGACAGGAAGGACAAGTTCAAAGGGCTCACATAATGCGCATGCATCATGGACGTTGACTCAAGAGCGCAGAAGCGTGGTCACCACGTCTACGCCTCGATATAACGAAACAGTTAGACTTCTCCACAAATCTGGCTGTCGCCTAATGAAGCTAGTTGTAATTACTGGCGAAACGTCGTACTCGGATTGTAAATGTTGTGGCTTGGTGCTCCAACACACCAGTGGTCCTGTACTAGTGACGAATTGGCACGTTCTGTTTACGTGACAACCCTTACTAGTTGGCTGTGTCGGGTGGTGGCGGGTTTAACGGCAGATTTATATATTTACGCGATCTAACCCAAACAAACCTCTACTATGGATAAAACTGACACTTTCTGAACTATTTCCAAACGTACGTGCGATCTTTAAGTACGTCTTTTTTATGTTTTACAAACCAGCTGTTTGCCCCAAACTTTGTCCAAAATAACGTCGCTTCTTTACCTTTCCTGGACAGTAACTACCACTAACTGCATAACCACAGCCTTTACCGTTACGCTAAAGTTGCCCATACAACATTTGCTGGTGCGAACAAATAAGTAGCAGGGAATGCAATATCGTTTCCACCAGCACAGCACACAAAGAGGTTGTTTGACCAGGACAGTGCACAGCCGTCTTTGTCTCTTCCGTGCCAATGTTCTATAGACAGCTCACCGAGTACTCATTTAAGGCATGGTCAACCTCCTGGTGGCCCAAGGCAAGTTCTGACATCACTTCCCACTGATGTTAGCCACTTGCCACTGGGATCCCATCCCTGCCTTTGTCACAGCCAAACTCTCTCCTCTGCAGACTCCCCACATTCCTCTTGTGCCAGACGTAGACTTCCAACCTGCTCCCGTGATTGAGACCGCACCACCCCGGTGTCCAGATCTCAGCACTGCCCCATCTAGCTACTCCCAAGTCAACTGCAAGAGCACCTTCATCATCTTCCAGATCCTCTATGAACCTTCCCCAGTCGGCCTCTCTTCTCCCATCCCACTCCACTCTCCGTAAATGTGACTACGTGCGCTCCCAAAAGAGTCTCAACTCAAACCGTCTGTCTCGTCGCGTCCCGTCGGCTGAGCTCGTTCTCTCACCTGCTGTCCCGGCATGCCAGGGAATCCCGAGATGCCACGGGTGCCGGCAGGGCCAACGTCGCCGGGAAGGCCCGGTTTGCCCGGGATGCCAGGCGCTCCCACCTCCCCCTTGTTGAAGCTGGGAGTGCCTGGGAGGCCGGGGATTCCCGGGCTCCCCTGGAATCCGGGCATCCCCTTTTCACCTGCCAGACGTCACACGGCGATCGAGCGTCAAGCGGCCTCCTAGCCACTTCGACCAGCGGGGTGCACGGTGCAGCCCAGCAAGTGCTTGCTCACTCCACCGCTGGTGGGAAGGGTCACCCCGCTAGTGGGAGCTCTATGAAGGCCCTCCGCAGGGCATTTGAGAGATCTGGGAGAGCGGGGACAGCGATGGGAGCGGGGGGGAGAGGGCGGAACGGAGGGAGCGGGGAGACCTGGGAGGTCTGTCGAGAGTGAGGAGGCCTGACGCACCTGTTTCCCCAGAAACGCCCGGCGTTCCCAGTTCTCCCCGGTCTCCCGGAATGCCGTTAATTTCCGCCTTGAGAAAAACTGGCGGGGGTCCAGGGGGGCCCTCCTCCCCGCGGGAACCTAGAAATAAAATCGGCACAGATGGGGTGCAGGGGTGGCATTATTGTTTCTGGGCAATCCTCGTTCCTCTTGGAAGGTTAAATGTCGAGTCAGCAACAACTCAGTTTAACACGTAGGCTTTCGCGACCAATATTATTCATAATAAAGGTTTTTGGGTTAGATCGCGTTATTTATAAATGTGTCGTAACCCTCCACCACCCGACACGGCCAAACAGTAAAACATGTGTCACGTTTACAAAGGACAAATAGCTCACTACTTTAGCCCACCGGTGTGTTGAAGAGTGAATCAACATTTAAAATTTGAGTACGACGCTTCGCTGGTAATTACATCCAGCATCATCGGGCAATTCACCAACAACTGTTGTATCTAGCAGAAGGATGTAAGCATTGGGGAGGTACGGTGGATTAAAAACACTTGACCTTGATATTAACCTTATTGGTACCAATCATCATCATCATCAACTTGCTTAATTGAAACAACAGCAACATCGCCCCTTACTGGCAGACTAATTGCCGTGTACAGGCCAGGGCTGTGTTCCACATTGCACAGGACAAGTACGAGCTGCCATCAGGTGGCCACCTCGGATAAAAAGAACAAACTGCACACTAAGATGCTGCGTTACATTATGGGCGCGATACAATTGCAAGTGTTATTATTTATATCATTATTAGCCAAGTTTCTAAGCATTGCTTGCTGGATAAAGGCCTCAGCAAGCCATAATTTGTAACTGAGGAATCACACTCTATATGCGTTTGTCCGGAAACAGTTTTTGTGTGGGGTCGACTATGGCCGCCGATACGTACCCTTCTGCCCTTGGCTGCCCGTCTGGCCCCGGAGGCCCTTGCTGCCAACTGGGCCTTGTGGGCCAATCTGGCCTGGGAGGCCCTGTGGGCCCCTTGCCCCGGGCACCCCGGGGAATCCAGCCATGCCCGCACTGCCCTTGGCACCTGAAGGATACAGACGTCCCCACGCAGTTACAGACACACATGGACACGTACGGTTATAGGCCGCTGGAGCTGTGCACTTTTAAATCTAGACTGAAAACTAATTTATTTAGAACTGCTTGTTGTTGTGTTTAGTTTGTTGTCCTTCCCCCACACCTCCGATTAGCATGGCTGGCTACGTACAGTGCAAAAGAAGTTCAACAAACATACATACATACATATAGACACACACGGGATACCCACGGGTTCATACAAAGAGAAAGATTCCCCCTATAGCCTACACAGATTTCTCTGGGAAAGTACTGTTAGCGAGCAGCTATGAAGGCTGGAACGGTGCACGAGGGGGTGGTATGGCCAATACCACGCCTGGCCACCTTTGTATCCCCAGTGTTGAAGTTTACAAATAGTACTCATTGTAGAATGAGTTGGACTATGAGAGAAGCCCTTCACCGGTTTTGATGTTCGCCTCGGACGATGGCCGGGAATGGAACTCAGGTCACCGGGTTCATAGCGTCGTGCATTAACTGCAGCGCTAATCTCTGCACCACTGCTCCCCACACATGGGGTACACATGAGCTGAACTGCATGGCATTGGCCGGGCTTTGGACCGTGCCATAACCCATGGTAGGTGAAGTCTTTACCTTTGGTGCTGTCCTTCCCGGGCATCCCAGCGATGCCCGGCACTCCCGAGGAGCCTACCGAGCCCAGCTTTCCCGGTGGGCCAGGAAAACCCGGTGGCCCGGTCAGTCCCTTCGCTCCTTGTGGGCCTGGATAGCCCTCGTCACCAGGGCTGCCTTTCTGTCCAGCAGGGCCTGCAGAGGCAGCATCAAGGACATCAACATCGTGACTCTTACCATCCTCGCAATCGTTAGCAGAAGCATCGCGACTCTTTCCGTCATCGCAATCATCAGCAGCAACATCAGCAGCAACAGCAGTATCGTGGTTATCATTGGCAACTTCACGGCTGTCATCATCAGCAGCAGCAGCATTTACATGGCTACCATCACCATTAGCAGTAGCAGCAACATCTTCATGGCTACCATCAGCCGTGGCAGCAACAACATCGATCCTGTCAACAGCAACCAAATCTAAGGTGTCAACAATAGCAAGCATACAAAACAGAACATTTGAATCCAGATTAAAGGTATGGCTAGGTTAGCTACAGAGGGAAGGGGCAGGGTATAGAGATGTGGGAGGGGGAGGGGGGGTCTCGAACCTACAGAGCCGGATGGCTTTGAAACAACAGGAACAAGAAAACGAGCGTGCTGAGCTTTTCCAAGAACTTCCTGGCCCGGCACGGGTCTGCTTTCTGTTCAGGTGTTGTGTAAACATAGCAAATAGAGAACTAAAATCTCAGACAAGTGGCGCAGAGGGCCCGGTTGCGGAGGATATCACTCATCGGTTGTCCCAGGGCTCGCACGGTAGTACCTGGTCTTCCAAATGGCCCAGGTGGCCCCGTGGAGCCCGAGGTCCCGGGCAGGCCCGGGCCCCCTTGAGGACCTGCGGGGCCCGGCCGGCCCGGCTGTCCTGGTTGCCCAGAGTCGCCCTTCGGCCCTTTGAGTCCCGCCCGCCCTGCAGTGCCGTCGTTTCCTGTGCACGCACGGTAAGTTTTTTTTCGTGACATTAGTGACAAAAAATACCGGTTAAACTTGCAGTAATTGTTTAAGCCTGCTTGACATGTATGCTGAACTTATTTTGCACCGTACGTAGCCAACCGTGCTAATCAGAGGTTAGGAGATGGACAGCAAATTGAACACACAATGTAGTTCTTCCGAAATGGTCGAGAAAGCCAACTGGCTGATGGACAAAAGCGTTTGCCCACGGTGCTCCAAAGCAACGCATAAGTTTGTGTTTTTTCCTTCCGCCAACGATCACTCTGACTACTACCAATGGCTATGGTGAGATGACTGCCGACCAAAACATTTTAGTATCCATGTTGCAGACAGCAGCCCACCAACAATGGCAATTGGCTATATATGTAAATCAAATGTTTACTCAATTCACTCATTATATGTATGAATATTGAACTTATTTTGCACCGTATGTAACCAACTGTGCTAACCGTGATTGGATCACCTCATATCGCAGGTGGCGGGGATGATGAAATTACACGACAGATGATGACGATGGTTGTCGAGATGGTGGTGGATGAAGATATCGGTGGTCATGACGATGGCCATGATAACTAAGGCCATAACGTCGGTGCTATTCGCGCTCGTCTGTATCTCAATCGTGCCGGTCGCCGCACGACGCGTCCTCTCTCACCCTTCTGCCCTTCCACGCCGGGCTGACCGCTCTCCCCACGTGACCCCAGTGGCCCCGTGCGTCCCGGCTCTCCGGGCAAGCCCGGCTGGCCCACGCGCACCTCCCCCGGTGGCCCTCTCCTCCCCGGTGGGCCCGCCGTGCCAGTTTTACCAGGTCGCCCGTGGACACCTTCCTGGCCGGGGAAGCCTGGGGGTCCCCTATCCCCCGTGGCTCCCGCGGATCCTGGCAATGACAGAGACACGGCGGAGGCAACACGGGCAGTGGCTGTTGTACTCGGCTTGGCGGTGCCTGGTGTGTGTGCATGCCGTTGTTGTTGTTGTCTTGTGATTGATGGTTGTAGTTGGATGAAGGGCCCTCCTGCCCCAAGGGTGGACTCGTTGGAGGGCTGCCCCCCCCTACCCCACCACTTTCCACCCCCCGAGGTTTCTGTGAAATGTATCAAGGCTAATGCCCAGCTAATGCCCGATACATTTCAGTGTTCTTCATTGCAAGGCCCGCGGGCCACTGGCGGCCTTTAGTGTGGCCCATGACGTGTGGCCCCACGACAATACACAACGGCACTCACACTGACGATGTCTCATCGGTGAAAGTGGCTCCCACTGTTGACTGGTCCCAGGCTGTGTTGCGATCTTTCTCACCCTCTCTCGTGTTTCCCAGCCCTGACGCTCTCTGCACCGACCGTCTATGCTAGAGCAGCATTTATTTTCATTTTCACGAAGCGTCGCGTGACGTTATTGCGTTTAGATGCTGCGTGCCTTTCAAATGGTTGCAGTTGTTGCTGTCCAGTAGTTGCTCTGGTTTTGTCCGATCGTCGCAATATCGCCTCTAAGTTTGCGTGTCGTGCTCTGGCTGTCGCGTGTGTCTACGTCGGTGTGCTGCTTTGGCAGCGTCGATTTGTCCGGCGGGCCATTTGTGCGTCTGCTTGCTGTGGTGGTACCGTATGTGTGGTATTGACGTTACGTCACGCAGGCTGTTGTCTTGCTGCCGGTACGATGCCCATCGTGTCGACTGTCGTCTGGCGGCTGCTATTGCCGTGCCTCATGTCGCGGACGGCAGCAGCTGGTCTCACCTGGAGGCCCCATGGCCCCGGATGGACCCGGATCTCCCGGCTGCCCCCGAATGCCCTTGAACCCTGGCATCCCCGGTTCCCCAGCGAACCCCGGCGAGCCCTTGGGACCTGGACACCAGAGGGAGAACGCACGCCAAGCATGTCTCGCACGAGCAACGGCCCAACTCGCGCGCAGTCACAATCTGCCTGCAAATGACCAGGGAATGCAGGCTTAGGAAGCGAGGTGGCTGGGAGGATGAGACATAGCAATGGACTCTTGAATCGCGTCGGTGATCCTGCCACTTTGTTGGATCTTGGAGGTTTGCGACATGTCACGAACAGTGCTAGGTTGCGAGGTGGTCAGGAGATGGTAGTACAGCAAGGCCATTTCATAAACTCACAGATCTACGTTAGCCAACAACCATTACCTCCGTAGCGCTCCATTACAGGTGAGCATCAGCACGCCCAACTAATGGTATAATACAATAAACGTACTGGACATGTTTTACTTCTTTTCCACCCAATATTTTACCCAAAATTGTCACGGGTTGAAGAATTAGTTTGGAACGCTTGCAGAGCAGGCGAGCCCCACGGCCCTCTGCCCCCCACCCCCTTCTGCCCCCACCCCCCTCTCCCCCCTCTGCCCCCCACCCCCCCACCATGTTTGAGAACAGCGGAAGGAGATGTCAATGAAATCCCTTCAAGTGACTTCTCGTGAAAGCCAGGAATCGCTCCACGTTCGAACCCGCCGCGACGCGACAGATGCCACTGGATTACTCGACTCGTGCCCGTCAGACCGAGGGAACAAAATTGTTGGAAGTGAACCGCGTAAAGATGACAACACGGGGGATGTAGCGCGAACGAGAGAGACGCGTCCCGAGGTTCGTCCATCGTCAAACCTTGAGGTCCGGTCAGGCCTGGCGGTCCAGGCTCTCCCCTCGGAGGTTGCACCATGCACTCTTCGGTCTCTCCTGCCAAAGGGAAGGGGAAACAGACGTCTGTCGTCACGGCGACCGGCCCGACGGGTGATGCTGAGTCGTGGACCTCGGGTATCCAAAGCCGCAATGCTTCGAGGAGCAAGCGTGGTGGTGGCGTCGTGTTGACGTCGTGGTGGTGACGTCGTGTTGACGTCATGGTGGTGGCGTCTTGGTTGTGACGTCGTGTTGACGTCGTGGTGGTGACGTCGTGTTGACGTGTTGACGTCGTGGTGGTGACGTCGTGGTGGTGGCGTCGTGTTGACGTCATGGTAGTGACGTCGTGTTTACGTGGTGGTGGTGATGTCGTGTTGACGTGGTGGTGACGTCGTGGTGGTGACGTCGTGGTGGTGACGTCGTGGTGGTGATGTGTTGATGTGGTGGTGGTGACGTCGTGGTGGTTGTGACGTCGTGTTGACGTGGTGGTGACGTCGTGTTGACGTCGTCGTGGTGACGTCGTGGTGGTGGCGTCGTGGTGGTGACGTCGTGGTGACGTCGTGGTGGTGGCGTCGTGGTGGTGACGTCGTGGTGGTGATATCGTGTTGATGTGGTGATGGTGACGTCGTGTTGACGTCGTGGTGGTGACGTCGTGGTGGTGACGTCGTGGTGGTGACGTCGTGGTGGTGATATCGTGTTGATGTGGTGATGGTGACGTCGTGTTGACGTCGTGGTGGTGACGTCGTGTTGACGTCGTGGTGGTGACGTCGTGGTGGTGACGTCGTGGTGGTGATATCGTGTTGATGTGGTGATGGTGACGTCGTGGTGGTGGCGTCGTGGTGGTGACGTCGTGTTGACGTCGTGGTGGTGACGTCGTGTTGACGTCGTGGTGGTGACGTCGTGGTGGTGACGTCGTGGTGGTGATGTATTGACGTGGTGGTGGTGGTGGTGGTGGTGACGTCGTGGTGGTTGTGACGTCGTGTTGACGTGGTGGTGGCGTCGTGTTGACGTCGTGTTGACGTCGTGGTGGTGGCGTCGTGGTGGTGACGTCGTGGTGGTGATGTGTTGACGTGGTGGTGGTGGTGACGTCGTGGTGGCGTCGTGGTGGTGACGTCGTGGTGGTGGCGTCGTGGTGGTGACGTCGTGGTGGTGATGTCGTGTTGACGTGGTGGTGGTGACGTCGTGTTGACGTCGTGGTGGTGACGTCGTGTTGACGTCGTGGTGGTGACGTCGTGTTGACGTCGTGGTGGTGACGTCGTGGTGGTGACGTCGTGGTGGTGATGTCGTGTTGACGTGGTGGTGGTGATGTCGTGTTGACGTGGTGGTGGTGGTGGTGACGTCGTGTTGGTGACGTCGTGGTGGTGACGTCGTGTGTAGCTGAGAGACTAAACGTCACCGTGTGTCTGGTAATGGAGTGCTTCTTCCAGGAGGCAGTGGAAGACGATAGTCTTGATCTGCTCTCATTTGTCATGTTACTAGATCCACGTGACATGGCCTAGCGGCAGTGCGTTCGCGATTTTACATAACCTTCGCAACAATTTGAATGTATTGTTCATAAATTAGTTTGTTGTCTTTCCTCCACACCTCCGATTAGTAGTTGGCTCCGAACGGTGTGAAAGAAGTTCAACATACATACAAGTGATAGTATAAGAATTATATGTAATCGATTCATCAATGCATTGTTACTGGCTTAGTCTACATATCTCTTTGAAAGGCTATGGGCCTCTATACATTATCTCCATGGATGTACATGTAAGGCTATGGTCTCTGTGTAAGGTTATTGGTCTCTTTGTAAGTCCTTAAGTTTCTACGAAAACCAGTGGGTCTCTTGGCATGTCTATGGCTTTATATATAAGTCAATGGATTTCTTTGCAAGTCTATCAGTCTCTTTGTAAGTCCTTAAGTCTCTACGAAAACCAGTGGGTCTCTTGGTAAGTCTATGGGTTTATATACAAGTCAATGGATTTATTTGCAAGTCTCTCAGTCTCTTTGTAAGTCCTTAAGTCTCTACGAAAACCAGTGGGTCTCTTGGTAAGTCTATGGGTTTATATACAAGTCAATGGATTTCTTTGCAAGTCTGCATGTCACGGAAGCAAGCCACGACGTGAGATCGATGGACTGAAGCATCGTTGCGTGCGTAATCAACAGAATGCTTAGCCCATCGTGCGAGTGTCGCCGCGCACCCCGACCCCGCAGCCCAGGGTCGCGTGACCACGGAGCCCCACCGAGACAACAAACGCGACCCTGAGGGCGCGCGTGTGACGACAGCAGCACAGCCCACCGCGTGAGATGGGGGGGTGGGGGGTGCGCTGGGCGTGTGGCGACGGTGGCGGGCAACGTGGAGCCAGGTGGCAAGTGCTGTGGGTGGCAGATGGAGTGGACCGCGTTCGTGCTGTCGTGGAGGATGGGGGCCGCGCGTGGGATGGTGTGGGATATCGGGCGCTATTTTCACGACTCGAGGGGCACAGGACCTGACTCTCAATCTCTGCGGGTCTCCTTCAGCTGGCGCCGTCGTGGAAAAAATCTGCGCAGCCCGCCAGAGATTTGACGTCACTGCTATCTCATTTTCAGAGAGGTCTGAATATCTACGGAAACGAACACGAGTCTCTGTCATTTGGAATGAAGCAAACTACCATTAATTTACAAGGAACCTTTGGGGAAATGGCTACCAATCACTTTCAGTGACGTGTATTATCGCGTCAAATATTACGTATAATTGGTAGAGAACCCCGACACCTAAATTGCAACGCTCTGCTAGATCACTGAACAGGAGGGCGCAACTCTGCGAGATCGTGAAGGGCCATGTGTACGGACGCAACGAGCCTGAAGAGAAACCACGTAAAGCTCTCTATGGGATCGCTGGTTAGATTAAAACTAAACTATTTTTTATTTTACCAGGTAAGGCCCATTGAGCTATGCAGCTCTTTTTCAGAAGCGATCTGGCCACAAATGATAGCTCAACAAAGTGGCTTATCGTGTGAAAATTTATAGCAGCCGTAAATTCTAAACGCACGTTGATTTTAAACGTGGAGGAAAAAACCGGAGGATCCGGTAAAAAATCCACACGGCCACGGGGAGAGAGACATGCAAACTCCAAATATACAGCCGGCGTCAGAGTTGGGTTCGAACCCACGACCTCCTGTACACCAGGCGAGGTAGTTAACATCTCACCACCGTGGTGCCCCCAACGGCGGCGGAAGTCGGCCGGATGCGACGTGGAATTGTTTAATTATTCTATTGTTTATTCACCTTCGATTAGAATACGGGACGCTGTGGGGTTCAAAGAGACTGCCCTGAGTGAACCTCGTGGGTGAAAATATCGACATATATCGTGCAGCGGTGGCGAGTGGCCAATGGTGGAAGAACGGTGTCCCTGAGAAAAAGTCAGCCTGAAACCTTGCTGGAGGACGGCAGGCCGAACGTCCAAACCATGAAGAACTCGTAAAATATGCTCACATGTTTTGATTATCCGAGAAATTATTTTCAATTATACTAATACATTCTTTTATAATACATATATTGTACGGATAAATTAACGACACGTCTCGGACCAGTTTGTCCCTGTGTTGGAATGGCAGCTTATTGCCATTGGTTAATATAATTTAAGTTACATTTTAAACAGTCTATCTTTTATTTGGAAATGCATTTTGTACAAATAACTACTCAAATAACGTGGCCCTCATGAGCCGGTCCTCCAAAAAGGTTTAATGCCCGGTACATTGAAACCATGATCTCGGTCAGATCACACATCTGGCGGTCTCAATCATGGAGCGGCCTCTCTCCGTACGGTGGCAGTGGTGAGCTCGGTGGGATGAGTGGGGGCCTACACAGGGCCCACCACTCATCGAAGCATGCACAAAATGGAGGTGGGTGGTTGGGGGTGGGGGGAGGGGTGGGTGTTTAGGGGAGGTCATTCGGCTGACCACTCTGATTCTCCACCGTCCTACCTCCCTGCCCCACCCGGTCTTCAGTGCAGTTACAGCAGCCCGGATCACCTTTACACACGGCCGTGGCGACGGCAATCGGCGGGACGCACGGCCAAGCGGAGAGACGGGGGTCACAGGGGTTAGCCGCACAGCAGCAGCAGCAGCAAGAGAGGGTCACGGGAGGTCACCGCGTAACGAGGAGCGGGGGTGACCCGCACGGCAGCGGAGGCAGCAGCAGAGTTAACTGCACAACCAGCCGAGACGGTAACGGGCTGTTACCACGGACCGTCACGAGATAACCACACACACAAGCGTAAAGGTAACGGAGGGTAACCACAGGACTGTCAAGAGTTAAACACACACCATCATGGAGGTAACAGGAGGTTACCACACCTCAGCAGGGGTGACCACACACCGGCAAAGGGGTAAAGGGAGGTCACTGCACACCGAAGTTAGGGTCACAGAGGGTTAACAGCACAGAAAGGGCCGATAGGGAACTGCACCCACAACAGCATGAGATCTTTAAGCTCAATCACAGGCTGAACCCTTGAGTGGAAGTCTTCCATTTAGTTTGTCAAAATTTTTGTACAAATCAGAATCTTTATTTATACTGGAGGAATCCGATGAAATACTAAGCTCTTTTTCGGAGGTGTCCAGTGTAAATCAACAGGATGTCACCTTCATCATCATCAGCCGTGATCTCTCCACTGCTGGATGAAGGCGTCCACATGGAATCGCCATTTTTAAACAAACCAAATAGCTCCTGCACACGAGCCGAGCTGAGAAGAGGAGCTGAGAAGAGGTCGTACAAAGTGCCGTAGGCTCTCGTGAGAAATGCGCGCCATGACTTTGAACTCCAAACTAGACACAGGATCTGCAAGGGCGCCCTCTGGTCACAGGGCAAGGGATTTCGCTAACACAGACGGTGGAGGGTGGGGGTGGCAAGGCACAGAGATGCCCGTGGTCCGAGGGAAGGAGCCACGGCCCTCACAAAGCAACACACGCATCACAGCGAGGGCAGCCCAGCCGCTCAGCCCCCATAATGCAGTTCCACCATCTAACATTTAACGCACAACCATTTTGCGCATAAATTCCCACACCTCTCGATTAGCACGGGTGGCTATGTACGGTGTAAAAGAGGTTATACTGTGAACAATGTTTTATTTAACAAGGTGAGGCCCAATGACCTATATAGCTCTTTTTCAGAGGCGACATGGCCATAAATTACAGCTCAATGAAGTGGCCTCTGTGGAAATTGATAGCTGCCCAATACTGTAAAAAGTTCAACATACGTACATATAGAATCCAAACCTGAGATCCCAGCGCTCTGACACAGCCATTATGGGCCTGCAGGATGTCTAAGAACTGCATTGTGGGAAGGTGCTTCGGCTGCCCCCGGCTCAACAAAGGGGGCCGTCGTGAGACGAGGGCCAGTCACGCCGACGCTGCGAAGCAAAGCGGTCGCGTGAACACCCCGTGGAGGCGCGGCATCGAATCGACGGAGGCGTAAACCTGGAGGCGTAAACCTGGGGGAGAAGGTTACGTCGATGGCGCGGAGGGACGCCACGACAAGAGGCACCAGAACAGGGGATGAAAATGCATCCCTCGCCGGTGCCCATGGACCGCCGATACATTTGGGTAAATTGTGCGATGGGGAAATCAACGTGTGTATATATATCCGGTATATATTAAGAGTGTCGTTCACCTCTCCATGGAATTTTGTCGTGAAAAAGTATTCCTGCTGTTGGATTAGCAAACGTCCCAACTGAAATTGAGCATCGTAGTATTTACAGCCGTGTCTGATAATAATCATAATTTACGTGTATTTGTAAGGAGCCTTCTACTAATGTCTCAGGATGCCTTGTAAGAATAAGGATAGGCCTACAGAGAAGGATAGCTAAATAGAATGTGGAGCTGTGATGGTATACTGTATATAGCTGTTCGATGGTATACTGTAATTGTATGATGCTATCTGCACCTCTGATAGTGTCTGTCAGCGATATCTGTAACTGTGTGTTAGCATATGTAGCGTTTTGATGGTATCTGCAGTAGTGATGGTATTTCTAGCTATTTCGTGGCATAGTGTAGTAGTGTGATGGTTTCTGCACCTGTGTTTTTGAATAGCTGTGATGTATGTGTAGCTTTTTGATGGGAGCCGTAGTGGCAATGGTGTTTACAGCTGTTTGTTGATATCTGTAGCTGTGTGATACCATCGATACGTGTGCTTCAAATTCTGTAGATGTGTCATGGAATGTGTAGCTGCCATGGTATCCATAGCTGCCTAACCATGCTACAGAAAAACCCTAAAACAGCCGCGCATTTACACAATAGAAATTATTACAATCCACCACTGGGTGAGCCACATAATTACTGAACCTTCCTCATCGCTCAAACACAGCATTACTTGCTTATTGCCACAATTGTGAGAGAAAAACTAATGAATTGTTCCCATTCAGAGGCAAACATTTCCTCTGTGCACAGGAGGAGACACAAACTAGTTCGTGAATGTACGCGCATACAAAATTACGCTGTAGCACAATTATCACGGTTGGCTACGTACGGTGTGAAAGAAGTTCAACGTACATACATACAAAGCCGTGGGCACGATGGCCCAAATTCTGACCTGCCTGGCCCTTGTTTCCCTGTGGCCCCTGTGGGCCATCGCGCCCGGGACTCCCAGGGTCCCCACGAGGCCCCACGGCCCCCGGAAAGCCGTCGCCCGGCGGGCCCGGAGGCCCGGGCTGACCCGACGTCCCAGGGACGCCCTTCGTGCCCTCGTCTCCCGGCAGCCCTTGGCCACCGTCGCCCTGCACAACGACAAGCATCATTGCTCGCTCACAGTCTGTGGCAGTGGGACACTCTTAAGTGGCACTGCTGTGGGTGGGGTGGGTGTGAGTGGCTCTGCTGTGAGAGGGGTGGGTGTGAGTGGCACTGCTGTGAGTGGGGTGGGTGTGAGTGGCACTGCTGTGAGTGGGATGGGTGTGAGTGGCACTGGTGTGGGTGGGGTGGGTGTGAGTGGCATTGCTGTGGGTGGGGTGGGTGTGAGTGACACTGCTGTGGGTGGGTTGGGTTTGAGTGGCACTGCTGTGAGTGGGGTGGGTGTGAGTGGCACTCCTGTGGGTGGGGTGGGTGTGAGTGGCATTGCTATGGGTGAGGTGGGTGTGAGTGGCACTGCTGTGGGTGGGGTGGGTGTGAGTGGCACTGCTGTGGGTGGGGTGGGTGTGAGTGGCACTGCTGTGGGTGGGGTGGGTGTGAGTGGCACTGCTATGAGTGGGGTGGGTGTGAGTGGCACTGCTGTGAGTGGGGTGGGTGTGAGTGGCACTGCTGTGGGTGGGGTGGGTGTGAGTGGCACTGCTATGGGTGGGGTGGGTGTGAGTGGCACTGCTGTGGGTGGGCTGGGTGTGAGTGGCACTGCTGTGGGTGGGGTGGGTGTGAGTGGCACTGCTGTGAGTGGCACTGCTGTGGGTGGGGTGGGTTTGAGTGGCACTGCTGTGGGTGGGATGGGTGTGAGTGGCACTACCATGAACGGGGTGGGTTTGGGTGGCACTGGTGCTCTACGCACAACCCGGACACCGATATCAACATCACAAGCTCGCTCATGTCGCCCAGCATCAGGAGCAGTGACACCAGGAAGTGTGAGAGTGGGGGCCGTGAATGGAGGGGAGTCAGAGGTGACGGAGTGAGAGATAGGGATGGTTAAATGGGCCCCGGGTGAGCAGTGAGAGACAGCGGGGGAGGTACCGGCGGGCCCTTGGGTCCCGGTCGCCCCGGCGTTCCGTCTCGCCCCTTCAGGCCGGGCTGCCCTGGGAATCCGTCCTCTCCCGCGGTTCCCGGCAACCCCTTCTGTCCTTGGGATGCAAACGGCACGGGCGACCAACGGGAGTCATGAGGGGTTCGACGGCGAGGAAGGTCTCGCGCCTACCGCGGAAGCACGGTAACGCCTGCCGATCCCACCGGAGCTAAGGCCCCCGCTGCCCGGATCGCGGTCCTGTCGTGCGGGACGCTCGACCGGACAATGACCTCAAGCTCAACCACTTCTAGCGAGACCTGAAGGTGAAGAGCGTTTTATGTCAGCGGCGCGACAAGGAGGCACTCCGCTGCGCATCGGAGATGCTCTGAGCGTGATTTTGCGATTCTTAAATTACTGTTTACTTTTAAAGATTGAGTGCATGTATGTTGAACTACTTTCGCACAGTACGTAGCTTATCGGAGGTGCGGGGGAAGGACAACAGACTGAACACAAAAAGCAGTTCTAAAGAAATTCGTTTTCAATTTAGATTTTAAGATGCATATTTCCAGTGGCTTGCTAATATCGGAAGGAAGAGCGTTCCAGACGGCCGCAAAAGTGCATCTGAGCAGATGCAGCAGGTTGCCAATTTTTTAAACCATTTAACCACCCACCGATTTGGAAAGGTGATCGTTTATAAAGCGATGGATTTATCTAAAAAGTTTTAAAATGGTTTCAATGCATGTTTTTCTTTATTCCCTCAACAAAAAAATCAAGACGCATTAGAAGTGTTTAAATATTGCCAGCCAACCGGGAGTGTCGCCAAGTGTGTGTGCAGTGGTAGCGGTGCCGTCGCTAAGTTTGATTTATCCATCCAAGAAAGCCTCGCTGAGTTAGTTCCACGAATGGGTGCTCGGTATGTTGGAGGAACCTGGCAGGAGTGGCCGCTCTGCAACCCTCTCTGCATCACCTTCCGTGACCCCGACGGAAATTGCTAATTGCTGAGATTAATGAAGTGACCGGTGGTATGGACGCAGAGAAACCGGAGAACTTGGCACTGGCAGAAACTTTGCCCGACTGCGGCTAAACGAACCAAGATAATCCCGCACCTCCTATTTGCACGGTCGGCTATGTACGGTGCGAAAGAAGTTCAACGTACACACGTACGTAACTCAAAGCTACACGATCGAGGGTAATAAACACAGCGCAGACAAACACTGCGGCCGTTTCGGCGGCAAAGCACGGAAAATTGAACGGCAACATCAGCATGCCTCGGCGTCGTACACGTAACGTGCCGTACGCATTTAACAACGAGTTAGGGCTTACCAAGGGCTTCCCGATCACGAGATGTTACCGGAGCATGAGTAGAGAGCAGAAGGACACGGGCAAAGAAATCCAGAGCAGCAAACCCCATGCACGAGTGGAACCTTTGGCTTGCAAGGAGAAGTATTGGACGTTGGGCGCAGTGCATAAATACCTTTGGTTGTTGGAATATAGGGGTCGCCCTTTATCCCTTTGAGCCCTGGGGGTCCAGGTCGTCCAGGCAAGCCCTGCAGGGGAAGAGGAGTCACCACCGAGGCATCGTAGGTGTCGAGCAGGCGGGACAGCCTTATCCAGACCACCAGCTCAAAGGAACTGGATGCGTACACCTCTGGGTCGCAGGCTCAGTATGCTAACCATCACAGCACAGCAGCAGCATCCCTGCGGCGCCTATAATGGACGAAAAACCCGAGAGGCTGCACTGGTTGGTTCGTGGCGCTGTGACTATTAAACTCACGCTGGGCCCCGATGCACCCGGCAGCCCTTGGGGCCCAGGGCTCCCTGCGTCTCCCCTGCCGCCCTGGAGTCCGGGGCTTCCGGGGTCACCTTGGAACCCAGGGGGACCGGGCGGGCCCTTCAGCATGCCTGGACCATCCCCATCGCCGCATTCACAATCTCCTGGGTCACCTGCACAAGGCACACACAGTGAACACACACATGCAAAATCCCTCGAATAGCCTTTAACGGACTGTTGGGGTAAAAGCTGTTGATGACGGCAGACAGCACACGAGGGGGTGGGTGGCCAACACCACGCCAGTGCTGATGCTGATACACCACATAGGATAAATAATTTCAGGCTGAGTCAACCTAGGGGAAGCTGAGACCCTATTTACATATGGGTTTACCAGGTTCGTAATGCTGTACGCTAACAAACCGCATTCCTGCTCCGCACACACGCACACAGATGCCCAGACGCACACACGCACAGAGCACATATTGCTGCCAAGTAACACTAGACCCACTGTAAAGTCCCAATGTGGTGAAAGTTTAGTCGGCAGTGAGGATTTGATAGCAAGGTTTGGGTAATTGGTGAGGGCGCGATAAGTGGTTTAGGAGGTAGCAAGTTTATTTATACAGGAACTCCTCTATTTATGAACGAGTTAGGTTCTGGAGATCTGTTCGTAAGCCGATTTGTTCGTAAGTCCAACTTCACTCCTGTCGATTCCGAACATGTTGTACGGCGTGTGCACTAAACACGAATGGCTTAAAAGTTGTGTAATCTCCTGTAGATGCCACTGGTTCTTCACGTTCTGCAGAAGCAGATGCCACCACCGCCATCTATTGCGCGGCGGTTGAGCTTGCGTCGATCCGAACAGGCGACTGGACACATTCGGACAGGTTTGTTCGTATCTCTTAAAGTTCGTAAGTCAAATGTTCGTAAGTCGAGGAGACCCTGTAAATCGTTGACGGTTTGTTACCTGTGGGCCCCTTTATTCCAGGGTGGCCGCTGGGTCCGCTCGCGCCAGGGCTGCCGGGTGCACCAATGAGCAGAGTGATGTTCGTGTTATCTCCTGGAACAAATCACAAGCGGCCAGACAGGGTGTGGTAGAACCAGGAGATTTCGGCTCAGCTTGAGACCGCAACCACCAAACACCACCGCAGCCATCGCAGCCATCGCAGCTTGGGTCATCACTCATCACACATCACCGCGATGTTCATATAAAATAGAATGACGATAACAAAAACATAAACTATTCACATTTTGATTTAAAGCTTTCGTGACTGCAGGGATTCATATTTTTGGTTCTTTCGGCAAAGTCACGTGACTTTGCCGAAAGAACCAAGAATAAGAAACTATTCAGTTTTTCTAAATTGCTAGTTACTCAACATGGACCCTGATGATGCTTGGAAACCCGAATTGAACTTGATTAGGCGCTTTCGTGACTGCAGGAATTACTCTTTGGTTTTTTCGGTAAAGTCATGTAGAAATAATAAAAATAAAATAAAAAAAACAAAGAGTAACCCGAATTGAGTTCACAAGAAGTCACAAACGTCTCATGAAAGACCTGCCACAGAAGATCCCTGGTTTTGGTTTTCCACAATGATTCTGGAGCCACAACCTCAAAACCGCATGCGCACACAAACCATGCCAACAGATGCGGATACTCGATGCACAAATAGAAAATTTAAAACTGTCCGGTGGTGCCCGATTCACAAACACGGAGGAGGCATCGTCATGGCAGCGATGCACCACTCCGCTACTCCCGATGCAATCGTCCGGCTCAACCACTTCAACGTACAATTAGAGTTGTTGCTCTCCATCAACACCGGCCACACGAAGAAGAAACTCCACTTCCACGGACAAAACCTTTCTTCGAATAACTCAATGATTTCACTTCCTTCTCAATGAAACCCCCGGCGAAGGTGCTGAGCGTGAGAACAATCCCCGCACGCCACAAGCTGCCGTGCTCACCTGGTATGAAGAGGCCGGGCAGGCCCGCCGGGCCAGGCAAACCGGGCTCTCCGGGGAGGCCGTCCCTGCCCGGCAGACCCGGCAATCCGTAGCCGGGCCGGCCAGGGTCGCCCTTCTCCCCCGCGTAGCCGGGCGTGCCGAAGATTCCAGGCAACCCCTTTGGGGCTGAAACACAACGTGTGCGGGCAGCAGGCACGGAGGGCTAAAGGGTGCTGGTGATGTGAACTGGGCGTACATGAGCGAGCTTCACCGATTGGTCCATTGGTGTTTGGCGAACATCGGATTGTTTGCGCGATCATTTGGCGCGTGGTGTTGGACTGTCCATCTGTTCATCTGTCCATCTGGCGTGTGAAGTCGCACTGTCCATCTGTCCGTGTTGTGATTGTCTGCACCTGGTGCGTTGTGTTGGTCTGCTGCGTCGTGTGCTTGAGGCGTTGTCGTGCGCTGTGCCGTCCTTACTAAGTGCACTCAAACAGAACTTTCCCCAAAAGTCTTTGCAAGGCTATATACGGGGTATATGGGGCCTGTGGTGTGTTGTTATGATATCTCCATCTTTCAGGTTGGGGTGTTGTAAACCGGCTGTCTTTTGCATGTGTGTTTGGCCTGCCGTGATGGCCAACCTATCCATCTGTTTGTCTCGCAGACTGCCTGATCAGATGGTACGTTGTGACAGTCCGCCTCTCTGTCTGTTTAGTACAGGGGTGTCCAAACTACGGCCCGCGGGCCAACTGCGGCCCGCGGTCCAGTTTTTATTGGCCCGCAGCAAATTCTGAAAATATAATTGAATATGGCCCACACAAGAAGCTTGAGCTCAACTCTGTTGCACTTCTCAGTTTCAACACTAGATGGAGCCAGCCACGGAAAACCGTGCTTCTCCACTAAACAAAATTAAGCAAAGAAAAACTTTTACCGCGAGTCACCAGAAATGGCAGCACCGAAGAAACGCAAAATAGCAAGTGAGTGTAGAAGATTTCAAACACGGTGGGAAAATGAATATTTTTTCAAAGAAATCAACGGAAAGTGTGTCTGTTTGATTTGCAATGAAGATGTTGCTGTGATGAAAGAGTATAATGTCAGTCGGCACTATGAGACCAAACCTCAGAGCTACACATCGTACACCGATGCCGAACGAACACAGAAAGTCAAGCAAATGGCGGCTAGCCTGCAAGCTCAACAACAATTTTTTTCGTGCTAACAAAATACAGGAAAACGCCACAACAGCAAGCTATGAAGTCACTAAACTTATTGCCCAGCACGGCAAACCGTTCTCCGACGGTCATTTCATAAAGCAGTGCCTCATCAAAGTCACAGAAATAATGTGCCCGGAAAAAGTGCAGGATTTCAACAGCGTGAGCTTATCCAGAAATACAGTGGTGCGGAGAATCGAGGACTTGTCAGCTAACTTGAAACTTCAGCTGAGAGATAAAGCTTATGCTTTTGCTTTTTACTCGATAGCATGTGACGAGAGCACAGATGTCACAGACACCGCGCAGCTGTTAATTTTTTTGCGGGGAGGAGATGATAATTTTTGCTGTACGGAGGAACTGCTTGATATGATGAGCCTAAAAGGCACAACGACGGGTAGAGATATTTTTGAAGCTGTGTCGGAGGCAGTTGAAAAGATGGGGCTTAAATGGGACAAGCTCTGTGGAGTAACAACGGATGGAGCTCCGGCCATGACGGGCGAGCGCAAAGGAATGGCATCGATGGTGTGCGCCAAGGTAAAAGAGAGCGGAGGTGAGGCTGTTAGGATGCACTGTATAATCCACCAAGAAGCACTGTGTGCCAAGACTGTCCAGCTGGGCGATGTGATGAACACTGTTGTAAAAACTGTCAACATAATTCGAGCTAGAGGACTGTATCACAGAGAATTTCAAGCTTTCCTATCTGATGTGGATGCTGAATACGGGGATGTGCTCTACCACTCTGATGTGCGCTGGCTCAGCCGCGGCTCTGTGCTGCAGCGGTTTTATTCGCTGAGATCAGAAATCGACCAGTTTTTGAAAGAGATAGGGCCGACCTCTTCGTGAACTGAGTGACCCTCTGTGGCTGGCAGACCTGGCATTTTTAGTTGATCTTACTCATCATCTGAATACACTGAACAAGAACCTACAAGGCAAAGAACAGCTGGTGCCACACCTGTATGCGCACATGAAAGCCTTCTGTGTAAAGCTCCGCCTGTTTGAGACACAATTACGAAGCTTTAATGCTGCACACTTCCCTGCGCTGTCTGAAATCAAGTCTGCTTTTCCAAAGGCCGACCTTTCTGCTAAAAAGGAGAAATATGTGTCTGTGATTGTATCTCTCGTGACAGAATTCAACCAGCGTTTCCCAGATTTTTCTGTCATTGAAAAACAAATCAAGCTGTTCTCGACCCCCTTCCTGGTGGATGCAGAAGAAGTGGAAGAGAGTCTGCAGTTAGAACTGATTGAAATGCAATATGATGATTCTCTGAAGAGTCAACATCAGCTTCTCTCCCTCCCTGACTTCTATCAGAGTTTGGATAATGCCAAATTTCCTCTGATGAGACGCCACGCAAAAAGAATGATGAGCCTGTTCGGCTCAACATACATATGTGAACAAACATTTTCTCTTTTAAATCAGAACAAAAGCAGACTGAGAACCAGAATGACTGATAGCCATCTCTGTGAGATCCGTCGTGTCTCAACCACCAAACTTTCTCCTGACATGTCAGCCATCCTTCAATCCAAAGGACAGCATCAGTGCTCCCACTGAGTGCAATGTTCTTCACATTATAGGTGAGTTAGAAATACACACAGTATTCATGTGTCAATATGTCACCTCTAGTGTGTGGCCCGGCCTTTTGTTTATTTTTCTGTATTTGGCCCTCACTAAAAAAACTTTGGACACCCCTGGTTTAGTATGTTCTCATGGAATCCCTGTGCGGTCGGTCTGCTGTGACGCCCCATCTGTATGTCCGTGTGGTTGGTCAGCTGCCAACAATTTATCCACCTCTCTGTCCCTCTGTCCGTCCGTGCGGTCGGTGTGCCATGATGGTCTGTTAGGCCGCGTGTCTACGCAGCTGCCATACCTGGGCTAAAGGCTGGGGGACCAGGTAGGCCAGCGTTGCCTGGCGGGCCCTGGGACCCTGCCTCCCCCTGTAGTCCAGTGGGGCCCTTGGAACCTGGTTCTCCCGTCTGGCCTGTAAAGAAAAGCAGCCAAACGGCACTCCCATACCTCACTAAACCAGCACAGCAAAAAGACAACAGAGCCCTGTGTAGGCTGTGAGAATACAAACACACAGAAACGCACGCACGCACATGACCAAGCCCTGCCCTGGATGAACATTGGGCATATCGCAACCCTTACCTGTGTGAATAGAGGACTCCTGCATGCACGGGTCAGTGTGAATAGAGGACCCACTGCTGCTGCTCTGTATGAACAGAGGACCCAACATCGGCATGCTGGAATAGAGGACGCGACATTGATGTGTTCGAATAGAGATGCTGACGCTGACCTGTTCGTATAGAATCCCGTCCTGTGATGTAGGTCGTAGGCCCAGGGGCGCCTTCACTCCCTCGGTCCCCCTGCGAGGAACGATCACGAAGCCACGTGAACGAGCTCTTAGTCTCACGTAGAGTCCCCATGTTCAGTACGATAACCTCCAAGCAACGCTACCTCCGTTTACGCTCACGTTGCCAAAAGCTCTGCCATCAGCGCCAACCAAACGTGTTGCCAGAGCTACCCCACGAGACGACAGTCCGATGATCGTAGCGCCCGACATGCGTCGTAAGGGGTGATGAGTTTCACGTGATGAACAAGACACAAATCCGCGGGTCGAGAATGTTAAATTATGAGCTCTTTCGCGGTTAGTGACGATGAACTGATGGTCCTCTGTGAATGCTGTCGAAAGTGTCCGCGGCAACCACGGTGGTGTGGTACGTGGCGCTGGCGGCTCGTGTTCGTACCTTCACCCCAGGTTTTCCGTCTTTACCCGGGACTCCGGGGACACCGCTGACACCCTTGGGAGACACGAGAGACAGATCAGCGACGAGCGTTGCTGAGAGCGGAGCCGCCGCGACGCCAGCGTTATTCTGAATGTAAAAGCCTCAAGACTTGTAAAAGGTGGACGCTGCTTTTAGTGCAAACGTCTCGCATTTCTAAACATTACAATTCACTACAAATTACAATAGTATGGACGCATTTGACCTTGGACCGGCTTGTAGCGTGGCCTCTTTAAACACACTGTAGATTTTGTTTTGCCTTTTTTAAGACCATTGCTGAGCACAGGCCCAGAAGCCCAAAGGCCCAAAATGATGAGCCTGTTAGTGAGCCGCATTTTAAGGCATTTCCTACTGTTCAAAGTGTTCAACAGGCATGCCACGGACGCATTAGAATTAATGTTCATGTATTTTTAAAGCAATCTTGGTTTCTTGGCTATTTAGCAACAGAATTGCCTTGTCCCCCCCCCCCCCCGTAACCATGAAATCCACCCTGGGATTACAGTGAACTTGTTTCGCAGGCTGACTCCTCACGAGTCACCCACCTGCCCAGCGCCACGAGAGCGACTCACGGAATTGCTGTGACCGCCAGACTGACTCGCTTGCAGATCTTGGAGATCTGCTCAAATTTTTTTGACAATTTAAACTATTTTATTTATTCTACCAGGTAAGGCCCACTGAGCTATACAGCTCTCTTTCAGAAGCAACCTGGCCACAAATGACATCTCAACGAAGTGGCTTATCGAGTAGAAATGCATAGCAGCCAAATACCGTAAACGCGCGATGTTGAATCTAAATGTGGAGGGGAAAAACCGGAGTACCCAGAGAAAAACCCGCACAACCACTGGGGGAGAGAGACATGCAGACTCCAAATATACAGCAGGCATCACGGTCTGGGTCGAACCCACGACCTCCTCCATACCAGGCGATCTAGTTAACATCTCTCCACCGTGGTGCCCCATCATGCTCCATTATCAAAGAGGGCATGGTCTTTTTTGCAATATTGTGCCCTTCCCAGTCCCCCTGGATACAGGACTGCATCTGAATGGGGAGGAGGCTGTCATGCAAGGTGATGGCAAGTGCTTTTTATTCGGATGAGTTCTCTTTTAACATGGAGAGGGAAGATGATCCTACCCTTTGGCCAGGAAAGCCAGGAGTTCCATCGAAACCATTATCTCCCTGTGAAACACACGCACACATACACATACACACACAAGTGAATGCGACAAACATCATACTGCATGCTATGCCGTTCATATGTTTACACCCTTTTCCACTGGCAGATCCAAGCCAAGCCAGCGCCAGGTCATTGAGGGTATGCATCCAGGTGAATGTGCCTTAGTGTGGCTGAGTGCGGGTGAGTGTTGGTGAGTGCAGGTGATTGTGGCTAAGTGCGGGTGAGCATGGCTGAGTGCAGGTGAGTGTGGCTGAGTGCAGGTGAGCATGGCTGAGTGTGGGTGACTGTGGCTGAGTGCAGGAGAGCATTGCTGAGTGTGGGTGACTGTGGCTGAGTGCAGGTGAGCATGGCTGAGTGCGGGTGAGCATGGCTGAGTGCGGGTGAGCATGGCTGAGTGCGGATGAGTGTGGCTAAGTGCAGGTGAGCATGGCTGAGTGCATGTGAGTGTGGCTGAGTGCAGGCGAGCATGGCTGAGTGTGGGTGACTGTGGCTGAGTGCAGGTGAGCATGGCTGAGTGTGGGTGACTGTGGCTGAGTGTGGGTGACTGTGGCTGAGTGTGGGTGACTGTGGCTGAGTGTGGGTGACTGTGGCTGAGTGCAGGTGAGCATGGCTGAGTGTGGGTGACTGTGGCTGAGTGCAGGTGAGCATGGCTGAGTGTGGGTGACTGTGGCTGAGTGCGGGTGAGCATGGCTGAGTGTGGGTGACTGTGGCTGAGTGCAGGTGAGCATGGCTGAGTGTGGGTGAGTGTTGGTGAGTGCAGGTGATTGTGGCTGAGTGCGGGTGATCATGGCTGAGTGTGGGTGACTGTGGCTGAGTGCGGGTGAGCATGGCTGAGTGTGGGTGACTGTGGCTGAGTGCGGGTGAGCGTGCAGCAGTGAGGCCTGTGGACAAAGTCCCTGCTGCACTCACCCTGGACCCCGGCAGCCCCGTGATTCCCTTCTCTCCCTTCCCGCTGGCAGCACTCTGAGGACCCTGTTGCAACGAGATGACATCACAGCCTAGTGATTGCAGGCGGAAAACAAACATAATGTGCATAATCATATAAATGCCTTTATTTATCCAGCGAAGCCGAAGAGTTGGCACCTACTTCGTGTGCAAACTCTAGAAAACTTCAACTCGCTTTCCCAGACATCTCGCTTTCAGCAGACGTATTCACTTGGCTTGTAAACTCATTCACTCACAAACTCATTCGCTGGCTAAACTACTCGCTCACTGTCGAAACTCACTCAGTGTCCTACTCACTGGGCATGGCAATAACCCGGTGCGGTGGTTCACGCACGCGATCCAGAACTCTGGAGGCACGGGATTGGTGGCTCGCATTGATAATTCGCGAAACCCGTTGAGCTGAAAATGCCAGCGCAGCAAATGGGTTGTCCAACGTTTCAACTGCTGCACATGTATCCTGGAAACATATATGCATCCCGGAAACATATATGCATCCCAGAAACATATATGCATCCCGGAAACAAATATGCATCCCGGAAACATATATGAATCCTGGAAACATATATGCATCCCGGAAACATATATGAATCCTGGAAACATATATGCATCCCGGAAACATATATGAATCCTGGAAACATATATGCATCCCGGAAACATATATGCATCCCGGAAACATATATGCATCGCGGAAACATATATGCATCCCGGAAACATATATGCATCCTGGAAACATATATGCATCCTGGAAACATATATGCATCCTGGAAACATATATGCATCCTGGAAACATATATGAATCCTGGAAACATATATGCATCCCGGAAACATATATGCATTCCAGAAACATATGCATCCCGGAAACATATATGCATCCCGGAAACATATATGCATCCTGGAAACATATATGCATCCCAGAAACATATATGCATCCCGGAAACATATATGCATCCCAGAAACATATATGCATCCCGGAAACATATATGAATCCTGGAAACATATATGCATCCCGGAAACATATATGAATCCTGGAAACATATATGCATCCCGGAAACATATATGAATCCTGGAAACATATATGCATCCCGGAAACATATATGCATCCCGGAAACATATATGCATCGCGGAAACATATATGCATCCCGGAAACATATATGCATCCTGGAAACATATATGCATCCCGGAAACATATATGCATCCTGGAAACATATATGCATCCTGGAAACATATATGAATCCTGGAAACATATATGCATCCTGGAAACATATATGAATCCTGGAAACATATATGAATCCTGGAAACATATATGCATCCCGGAAACATATATGCATCCCGGAAACATATATGAATCCCGGAAACATAGATGCATCCCGGAAACATATGCATCCTGGAAACATATATGCATCCCGGAAACATATATGAATCCCAGAAACATATGCATCCTGGAAACATATATGCATCCCAGAAACATATATGAATCCCGGAAACATATATGCATCCCGGAAACATATATGAATCCCGGAAACATATATGCATCCTGGAAACATATATGAATCCTGGAAACATATATGAATCCCGGAAACATATATGCATCCTGGAAACATATATGCATCCTGGAAACATATATGCATCCTGGAAACATATATGAATCCTGGAAACATATATGAATCCTGGAAACATATATGCATCCCAGAAACATATATGCGTTAAGCATTCTTTGCCGACCGCTCATGGGCTACTCACGTCAGGTCCAGCCTCTCCGATCTTTCCCGGTAAGCCCTGGGCTCCCGGCTCTCCCTGTTGTGAAACAAAATGGGAGCGGTGATGATGATGTTGATGACGATGGTGCGGGTGGCAGGGAGGGTGAGACGGAGAGGGAAATACAGCAGACAGTAGACACACGGGGTTAGGTTGTGAGGCGCCCAAGGTAACAGTCAATTCCAAATCGCGGCCTCACTGTCTCATCGAGATCACCCGCTCCATGCAAATAACACAACACCGTCTTCTCCGTCACACACAGCTCCCTCCTTCATCCACGGCTCTCTCATCTCTATCCCCAGCTTTCTCTCTCTTCATCCACAGCTCTCTCCTCCCGTCACTCCTCCTACCGTGCCTCCTCATCTCCAGCCACCAATCTCCTTCCTGCATACCGCGACGTTACTCCCGGCCAACTGGGTGCAGGGACTGTGTAGGAGGGTAGGGAATGCCGATGTCGTGGGGACCGTTATGGGAGGACCGTTACAAAAGGCCCAGCGATGGCTTCAGCGGGAATGGAAATCTTTATTTCGGTCGCCTGTCGCACACGCCAGCCTGCACGGAGCCAAGCGACCGCCTGTCTCTCGGTGTGGACCGCGCCGTCAAGCACATGCTCCCTCTTACCTCCAACGGAGGGGGCGGGGCGATGGGGGTCTTATTTTAAGTGCCCATCAGGACACGCTGCGGGCACATCTGCATTTTATTATTTTCGATTGGCGAGCGACCGCGGGTGGAAAGCAGTCAAGCTAGCTGGCTTTGTTTTGTGCGGCTTCTCACGGCTCCGGCGTGCGCTCGCTCAGCCTCCTCACCTGCTCGCCCTTGAAGCCCTTGAGCAGGTAGCTGGGTCGGCTCCCCTTCAGCGGGACGGCGAAGCGTCCGGGGGGCCCGGGGGGACCGACCTCTCCCTACACAGGGGGAAGAGGGGATAAGGAATTGCAAGTGACTGACATACTCGTGCCAGCTCAAACATTCCGATGGCCCAAACAATAAAAATAATTAAACAATTCCCTGTCGCATCCCACCGACTGCCACCGGTGTATTTATTTATAATTTTTTAAAATAATAAATAAAATCATTTATTTTTAAACGGTGTATTTATTTATAATAAATAAAGTATAATAAATAAATAAAGTTGCAATAAATACATGCGCCGTTTAAAAATAAATAAATTTATTTATTACATACTTTTTATTATAAATAAATACACCGTTTAAAAATAAATAAATTTATGCAGACCGACACACCTGATGACGACCGTTTGTGTTATGGTCGAAACGTCGTGAGAATTTTTATTTTTATATATATTTTATTATTTTATTGTTTTCCTTCAACGTGGCTTTACCGAAAGAGCTAAGAATATGAATTACTGCAGTCACGAAAGCTCTAAATCAACATTAGTGAATAGTTGGAGCCGCGACCCCGAGGGTTGTTCGGCCGTCTCGGCGTGGCACGAGGTGGATCACAGTACCGGCCCTGCCCGCTCGGGGGCCACATTGCCATTGACTTTCCCAATGAAGGGGTCACGACCTTTGGGGAGTTGTTGTGAGCAGGTGCGGGAATTAACGTCCACCGGCCACGTTTCATGTTGGCCACCGATGGGTGTAAGGTGGCTTGTCCAACGCAACGCTTTCCCCCCACTCTCACTCCCGTGCGAGCAGAACGATTGGCAGCTCGACGTCGGCGGCAGTGGAGGAGGGGGAGTTCGACTGCACCGACGTTCACATTCGTGCAGGGCAATCGTTACATGAGGAGCCTCGAAATAATGACGTGGCCCCGCATCGGCGCGATTTCAGTGCAAATGGCTGGGACAAGGGGGCCGGCAAACCTGCAGCTCCGGAGCCACAGGCACGGCCTCTTTCAAGGACCGCTTCATCGCTGTTATTCACGTGCATTGGAGGCACTTGAAATATTGGTTGTTTTTTTTGGGGGGTTTATACCGAATTCGAAAAAAAATGTCTCCTCTTGTTATTTTGGTTTTGCCGAACCCCTGGTCCCCGAGGAAAATTGGGAATGGCCCCTTGTGCCCAGCACGTTCACCGTCTTTTCCAGATGTCGATGCCGGACAGCCGAGGTGTCGCGTGATCCAAGCCTGGCGGTGGCCCTTGCGGCAAATGCACGCTAAGAAGAGCGGCGAGCAGATGCGTCCTTTGTTGTGAAGCGAGGGGTGCCGAAGGCAAACGAGGTAAATATAAATCGAATAGTGCGAGCTGCAACATGATGACAACTCTGTGAAGAGTGGCGGATCCGGGTTGGGGGAGGGAGGTGATGGGTGGTGATGGCTACCCCATTGAGATCCGGAGAATTAAGTATCTTATTGACATTCACCAGATAAAAAAAAACACACACACACACACCATGATTTACCATTACTAATGTTGGGCGCGATTGAAAAAATCTTGAATTTTCGGGACCAGCGCCGTGCGCCCACCCCCCTGGCAAGTTTCTCGATGCGCCTTGTCTGCCTGCGACAAAGCGGTAACGCTTCGTATGCAACCCACTAACGCCACGGCACAATTGAACGTCGTACGCGGAGCCCCTCTCTCTCTCTCGGCTGGCGGTGGCGCCGTGCCTTCGCCCTCTCCTTACCTTCTCTCCCGTCATGCCGCGCAGCTCAACGCCACGGTTCCCCTGGAAGAATTTGCGCGTGGGGGTGGGTGGGGGTGGGGGGTAGAAAAAAAACGGCGTGCCGTTACTTTTATGCCACCGTGGCTGGTCACAAGAAACAATGTTGGGGGAGGGCAGCCGGTACTGGCGGTGGTGGGGAGGGGTGGTCGCGCGTCGTGTCTGGTGCTGTACCTTCTCGCCCGGAAGCCCCGGTGGCCCTGGCGTGCCCTGCGCGTTCGGGGAACACGGGGGAACCAAAGTCAACGGGCGGCAAACGGAAACCCGAGAGGCCACTCTGAGGTTCAGCTATTGCACCCGAGCGCCATTCACAATTCACAGGCGTCTGTTCGTGCGTCGACCCGTAGTTAATGTACGTTAAATGTGAAAGCCGCTGCTCCGCGAGCCAATGCCTGATGGGGCTCCGTGAAGGTGAGTTTGCGGTGGCATTTAGCAAGGCAGCCCGCTAGATACTCACGGGATATCCAGGAGGGCCCCTCGGTCCTATCTGACCTGGAAAACCCGGAATGGATGATCCCTGCAAGAATAAAACAAAGCAAATGATAACACGGCCACTTGGATGACCCGCATGGTGTGGGGGAAGTCCTGGTACACCAGGCTCGATTCAGCAGTGGAATGGCAAAATGGATGCACACGCACATGAAATATCCACCACCACCATCATCATCATCGTCGTCAACCTTCTACTCTGATTAGCACGGTTGGCTACGTACGGTGGGAAAGAAGTTCAACATACATACGTACATCCACATGATGCAATAAAGTCACCAACGGAGAACTGCCAGTTTCAACTCCCGGTCAGGAACTCATCAAAATTCAGCGCGTGGCAATGCAACAGGCTACTCGATTCACAATAAGGAAGGGTGGTGATGTTTTTTTTTTTAAATTAACTTTTGAGTTAGGCCATTTCACGGTCTAGCCGAATTTGCGTCGTAAGACCCAACAACACCACCACCACCACCCGACATGGCTAAATGGATTTAAATTGTCACGTGGTGTACAAGCTTTTAACGTGCCAAATGTTACTGTTATTGTTTCAGCTCACTCGCCAGTAAGATTCGGAACGATTCTCACAATCAAATTCACCAGTTAGATCGGCGTCAATTCCTAGGGGTGAGGAAAGGTCACGTGTATAAAATCCTTAGCCCATCATGGCCTTGCTGTAATTCGTGGGAAGATTACACAAATGGGAAAATGTCTCCGCCATATGGATGTGGAATTTCCACAACTTGCTCAAGGCTTCACTCTTGATTTGAAGCTTTCGTGACTGCAGGAATCCGTACTCTTTGGTTCTTTCGGTAAAGTCACGTGGGTATAAAATGAAATAAATCACGACGTTTCGGGCCGCAACACAAGCGTCCGTCATCAGGTGGGAAAGCTTCACTATCAATGCATGGCATACAGCCATTAATGTATGAACTAATTAATGCATTATGGCTGTTATCGGAATGTTGGTGGTGATGAGAGTCTGGCACAGATTGGTCTGCACGTAGGGGTTGTGGTGCTCACCGGGAGGCCGTTCGAACCTTGCTTCCCACGTATGCCCTGCACACAGAGACGTGGCGTTACACACGTGACACACGTTACACAGGTCCCACGCGTTACACAGGCACCGCACGTTACACACGTTACACACGTGACACACGTTACACAGGTCCCACGCGTTACACAGGTACCACGTGTTACACAGGCACCGCACGTTACACACGTTACACACGTGACACACGTTACACAGGTCCCACGCGTTACACAGGTACCACGTGTTACACAGGCACCGCACGTTACACACGTTACACACGTGACACACGTTACACAGGTCCCACGCGTTACACAGGTACCACGTGTTACACGGGCACCGCATGTTACACACGTGACACGCGTTACACACGTGACACGCGTTACACAGGTAACGCGTTACACGCGTGCCACACGTTACACAGGTGACACACGTTACACACGTGACACGCGTTACACACGTGACATAACTGCACAGGTCCAGGCTTTCGGCTTTTCTCCTCCATCCCACATATGGCTGACTCCATCTCCCCTTCCAATGTCTTCTAGACAGTGACTCCACTGACTAGACAGTGACTCCACTGACTAGACAGTGACTCCACTGACTAGACAGTGACTCCACTGACTAGACAGTGACTCCACTGACTAGACAGTGACTCCACTGACTAGACAGTGACTCCACTGACTAGACAGTGACTCTACTGAATAGACAGTGACACTACTGACTAGACAGTGACTCTACTGACTAGACAGTGACTCCACTGACTAGACAGTGACTCCACTGACTAGACAGTGACTCTACTGACTATACAGTGACTCCACTGACTAGACAGTGACTCTACTGACTAAACAGTGACTCCACTGACTAGACAGTGACTCCACTGACTAGACAGTAACTCCACTGACTAGACAGTGACTCCACTGACTAGACAGTGACTCCACTGACTAGACAGTGACTCCAATGACTAGACAGTGACTCCACTGACTAGACAGTGACTCTACTGAATAGACAGTGACTCTACTGACTAGACTGTGACTCTACTGACTAGACAGTGACTCCACTGACTAGACAGTGACTCCACTGACTAGACAGTGACTCCAATGACTAGACAGTGACTCCAATGACTAGACAGTAACTCCACTGACTAGACAGTAACTCCACTGACTAGACAGTGACTCCACTGACTAGACAGTGACTCCACTGACTAGACAGTGACTCCACTGACTAGACAGTGACTCCACTGACTAGACAGTGACTCCACTGACTAGACAGTGACTCTACTGACTAGACAGTGACTCTACTGAATAGACAGTGACTCTACTGACTAGACAGTGACTCCACTGAATAAACAGTGACTCCATTGACTAGACAGTGACTCCACTGACTAGACAGTGACTCCACTGACTAGACAGTGACTCCACTGACTAGACAGTGACTCTACTGACTAGACAGTGACTCCACTGACTAGACAGTGACTCTACTGACTAAACAGTGACTCCACTGACTAGACAGTGACTCCACTGACTAGACAGTAACTCCACTGACTAGACAGTGACTCCACTGACTAGACAGTGACTCCACTGACTAGACAGTGACTCCAATGACTAGACAGTGACTCCACTGACTAGACAGTGACTCCACTGACTAGACAGTGACTCCACTGACTAGACAGTGACTCCACTGACTAGACAGTGACTCTACTGACTAAACAGTGACTCCACTGACTAGACAGTGACTCCAGTGACTAGACAGTAACTCCACTGACTAGACAGTGACTCCACTGACTAGACAGTGACTCCAATGACTAGACAGTGACTCCACTGACTAGACAGTGACTCTACTGACTAGACTGTGACTCTACTGACTAGACAGTGACTCTACTGACTAGACAGTGACTCCACTGACTAGACAGTGACTCCACTGACTAGACAGTGACTCCACTGACTAAACAGTGACTCCACTGACTAGACAGTGACTCCACTGACTAGACAGTGACTCCACTGACTAGACAGTGACTCCACTGACTAGACAGTGACTCTACTGACTAGACAGTAACTCTACTGACTAGACAGTGACTCCACTGGCATCCACGCCTGCACTGAAGCCCTCCTCCCCGTCACCTTGCTCACAACGCCCTCCTTGGCAGTCTCTGCATCGCTTAAATCACGTCTTTCCTGACTAGATAGTGACTCTACTGACTAGACAGTGACTCTACTGACTAGTCAGTAACTCTACTGATTAGACAGTGACTCCACTGACTAGACAGTAATTCCACTGACTAGAGGGTGACTCTACTGACTAGACAGTAACTCTACTGACTAGACAGTAACTCCACTGACTAGACAGTAACTCCACTGACTAGACAGTAACTCCACTGACTAGATGGTGACTCTGCCTATGCCCAAGCCAAGACTCACCTTCATGCCCTTGAGCGAAGGAGGAGGGGTTGCTGGGTCTCCCTTCTGGCCTTTAGGTCCCACAATTCCCTACAGGATGGCAGAACAGCATTAGTTACTTGAAATAACCTAGCATATCAAGTCAACATGACGACAATTCCAAGTAATACAATATGGGCCACGATACATCCTCGCTGCAGCGCCTTTTTGCTGGCCATTGAACAAAAATGGTTACCGCATCGCGCACTTTCAGGTGCACTTCTGCGGCCGTCTGGAAAGCTCTTCCTTCTGATATGAGGAAGCCACTGGGAGAAATGCACTTTTAAATCATCCAGATTTAAAACTATTTTTTTAAAACTGCTTTTTGTCTTTAGTTTGTATTCCTTCCCCCGCACTTCCGATTAGCACGGTTGGCTACGCACGGTGCGAAAGAAGTTCAACATACATACAATCTAAACTGAGGATATTTTAAAAAGAAAATCGTTCGATGGAGTTTAGAGTTTTTAAGGCTACAGAAAATACATATAAATTCACTTCGAATGAGCAATAGGGGTTACGATTCAGTGTTGCAGGTAGAAAGCTAGCATACGTATTAGAGGTTAGAGCTAGTGTCATATTAGCCCTGGAAGTTCTGAAAATTTTACTCAAATGAAAAAAAACTAAATGTTGACATTTATTGGGGGGTGTTGATAATAATGAGAATGGCATTCTCATTGCGCAAGGCTCTGACGTAGGCGCTACGTCTCACACGACGTTTATATAGTCCGCAGTAGTTTCACAGTAGGGACGATGACGGCTGTGTTCTACCAGTTGAGTCAATTTGCTGATAATTTTTTTGCTAAATTGCCAGATTGCCGGCACGCATGGCCCAACTCTTTTTAGAACGTCACGGGATCTCCGACGTCCACTGTAAGGCAGTCAGTGCGTATTTACGATGGGGCCAGGGGGATTGAACCACGAATCTCTTGCGAGAAGCAGCAAACGCGCTACCACTCGGCAACAACACTGCCTCCATGACACGGCAGATGGACTGAGCTACGGACAAAAAGAGTTTCATTACACGTGGGGTCGCTGCGGTGGCGAGATGTTAACTACCTCACCTGGTATATAGGAGGGCATGGGTTTGATCCCAACTCTGATGCCTGTATATTTGGAGTTTGCGTGTCTCTCTTCCCATTGTCGCATGGATTTTTCTCCACTTCCTCCGCTTTTTCCCTCCACAATTAAAATCAACGTGCGTTTAGAGCCAGTTTGTTGAGCTATCATTTGTGGCCAAGTCGCTTCTGAAAAAGAGCTACATTGCTCAGTGGGCCTTACCTGGTAAAATATATATTTTTTATCTTTCTGGGCTCATTTCCCAGCGACGGTGGCATTTATCTTCCGGCAGGATGACATTCCTTCGCCACCTTGAATTGACTTGAGTAGCAAGACCGGAGTGCAACAACAATTTGGGGTGGTGGAACAAATTGAAAAGACACGTGAGGGGGTGGTGGGGGGTGTGGACTTGCCGCTTGGCCGGGTGTTCCATGTGAGCCACCCTGGCCTGGGAGGCCCGAGTCCCCTCGCGTGCCGTTACAGCCGTCGGCCCCTGGGTAGCCCCGTGAGCCCGGCTGCCCCGGGTGACCCTGCACACGCAGAACGGGCGGCCGCGTTAAGGGGCCACTCCTGTAACCGGGCCGCTCTCGTTGTGGCCTCCTCCAACAGATGTGGGCACACACAGCAAACACTACACACAGCACACACACACACCATGCACACCATACGCTAAACCCTTCATGCATACAATGCACAGCATCCATGCGCACACCGCGCACAACACAATCAGCGCAGATGCGTACAACACACCCCACTTACAACATGCACAAGGGCATATGCTAACTCACCGCACATGGTGCAACACACACGCAACAGTCACTCCGCTCACACCGCTCCACAGCGCAAGCCCCACCGTTGATACCAGCACCTTGAGCACCGCCCTCTCACAATTAGTGAACAGTCAAAGCAGGCGTGTGGGGAAAGAGTTCCAGACTGTAAGAACAACAGTAGAGAAGGAGTGACCTCCCATTGAAAGAAAGATGATTAAATGATTGCGGGAGCAAATATAAAGATCGGATCTGATTCATATTATGGAGACAAGTTATCCAAACGTGAAGTTGACAAAGTCTCAAGCCTGCAGTGGAACGGTGGGATGAAGCTACAAACAGGGACTCTTCTATTTACGAACGAGTTAGGTTCCAGACATCTGGACTTACGAACAAATCGTTGTTCGATTTGTTCGTAAGTCCAACTTTACTCCTGTCAATTCCAAACATGATGTACGGCATGTAGACTAAACAATGGGGGAATGGCTTTAAAAGTTGTATAATCTCCTGTAGATGGAGATGCCACTGGTACTTCACGTTCTGCAGATGTAGATTGCAGCACCACCGTCTAGTGCGCGGCGGTTGAACTTACGGCTCTCGGTCCGGATAGGCAACTGGACATCCGGACAAGTTTGTGCGTACCTCTGAAAGTTCGTAAATCGAATGTTCATAAATAGAGGAGTCCCTGTATACGTGTATGTGTGCACGGCACTGTGTGCAGTGTGCAGATGAAGGTGCTGGTGATGCGACGGCTCTTACAGGGGTCCCGTGAATTCCAGGAAACCCAGGTACTCCAATAGGGCCCTGCAAATCACACAGACACACAGACACACACAGCACAGGGATGTGTTGCAGGGTCAGACGGACGGAAGGGGCCTTAGGGGTATAGCCAGGTGATGTAGTTGTAGATTGAGCGGTTCGAAATTGTAAAGTTGTGAGTTCAAATCCGAGTTGGGGGTTATTAATTATTCTCCAGAATCATTCAAACAAGTACCACTTTGTGAGTGAGTCAGCAGTGATTGTCCGATGGATCGACTCGTCCCTGCGATAGAAATGTGGAGTCTCTACCGTTGGCTCGGGGTTGTTAACGGGAGGCGAATACCCCTTCAATGCTCACTGAGCAAGAAATAGCTTTGGCAATAAATCGCTCCGACTTGACTCACGGGGTCTCCGTCCCCTTCTGTCAGGCCGGGCGACCCCGTGTCCCCTTTGAGGCCCTTGGGCCCAGGAATTCCCTCGGGCCCCGGCGTGCCAAGGAATCCCTTCGGTCCCTGAGGGCCCAGCATGCCGGGCTGCCCCTGCATGACACACACAAACACACGGTGGCACACCAAAACAAATTCCATCAGTGTTAACAACATGAGGCAGGAATCACCGCAATATCATCAAATCACGTGTTGGTTTAGTGACAGATGTTTATAATTGCAGGAATAACTCAAGAACTGAAAGTGGTACAGGAATTGGCAACGCGTCAAAGATGAGACAAACAATCCAATTCCAATTTACAAGCTTGTGTCTTGTTGTGTTATTCGGGGATAACATTTGACATTACGCTCCGCATACTGAGATCTTGTCCTCGGGTTTGCTGCAAGAGTCCTGGTTCTGTTCCTGAAGCTCTCAGCACGCGGAGTTGAAACACCGTTACGCAGCGCCGAACAAAACGTGACACAAACGCAAACACGCATCGAAGAAATGTCAATGTTTTCCAACTTTGGGTGCCCCCGTACCCCTGCCGTATGAATGAACGCATCTCCAAACGTGTTTTGTTAGCCACGGGCGGCTTCGGCAAATTTTCTCCACCGATGTCCGAACTTTAGAAGCAAATCCTACGAAAAAGGAAAGCGTGCGTCGGAGGGAATGTGGCTTCCGCACGGCAGACTATAAAACCAACAACAACAACGCATCCCCTCCAAAAGACTCGAATCACCGATGGGCACGATATGGTGGAGAGACATCTGCCTCCAATATGACGGCACTGGGAGTATTATGAATATTCTCGCCTTCGTTGTGGAGCGCGGCATTCTAGGCAGAGCCTTGGGGCGGGCTCCAGCACAAACACGGACGTGGTCGGGAAGAGAGCACGGAGAGTTTTAGTTTGATAAGCCCCTGAGACAACATTATTATTGTAAAACAAGTTTGTCAAAGTGCCTCCAAATTCCCGCGGGCGCTTCCTGCGCCCTTCTCTCTGTCGGTGGCCACGAGCTGGCGGTGGGAGTTACGCATCGCGTTTATACGGCCAACGTGTGTGAAATAAGCCAAGTGAAACGCATTTTAAATACCAAAAGCCCACCGAATCACGGTTGGAGGGGAGCCCTGGGGCAAACACAAACCTGTCGCAGATTTCCGCGACCCCAGCAATCCTCCAAGCTGGACCTGAGCTACCGAGGAAGGTCTGGTCCTCCTTGAATCGGATTCCAGTGACACTCCCGTGGAAGATGCGGGACACTTTCTCCGCGAGAGTTCGTGTCTGTGACCTGCGGTGGTGGTTGCGATAAGTGTAGCGGTCAGCGCTACGCTGCGCTACGAACCCCGAGACCCGAGTTTGATTCCCGCTCACGGTCACCAACAAACCAGTGACGAACCGGTCCCGGGGCCTCCCCTAGGTCGACTCGCCCTCAAATGAGTACCTGGTGGCGGTGTGTAAACATCGCCACTGGGGAGACAAAGGCGGCCGGGCGTGATGCTGGCCACCCCACCCTCTCGTGTGCCACAGTGCCGGGCTTCATAGGCGCGCGCCAGCAGCACTTGCCCCTACAGTCTGTTGAGGCTACACGGGGGGATCTTTGTCTTTGGTCGCGACATCTCGGACCGTGAACCGACCGCCCCAATGGGATCGTTCGACGGCGATGTGAAACAAACGCGCGCGGCTGCTCCTGGGGATATCAAAAGCCTCGACATCGATTTGTAATCGGTTGCAATCCCCCCAAAAACGACATGCACAAGAGTTTAAAATCAGCGAGACACCCAACTGAAAATAAAATATTCGGGGGGGGGGGACCCCCAGAGACTGAGAAAATAAACACCACGAAAGAGAGAGAATCCCATGAAAGTAGGAAACAAACAAAAAAAACTCCCCAATAAACTGAGCAGAAAAAACTCAAGAAACCCAAAGTTGAAACTCGAGGCGCTGTGGCGGAAACGTCGAATCGTTGCCGAGGCGCGCGTGAGCGAGGGGCAGGAGGCGCAAGTTTCGTTGGCGGCAATCGGCGGCGGTAAAAAACAAAAAAAGACGTCCACATTTGCGGGCGGGTTTTCTTTTCTCTCCCCTTCTCCCCTCCGCGGAATTCGATGACTCTCCGCCGATTGGTACCCCGCTCCAAGCGTCGCCCCTCTCGTCTCCTCGTGGCGCGGGGGAATTCGCGCCGTGTTGGACTGCGGCGCTCGCACTCCCCGCGCGCGTGTGTGTGTGCTGGAGAACGTGCACCTAGCCTGGCACAAAGCGCCGTGCTGACGTCACCGCCACTTTGTTGTTGTTGTTGAAGACAACTTTAACATTAGTTTGGTAGTCAGGGTCAAAAGAGTCCAGGGCGAGGCCAAATCCCGCCACCGCCAGGAGGGGGCCTCGCCTCCCTCAGTGGCCTACCATGGAGTCACGCAGACTCAGCGTTTACAACAACAACAATTATTGTTGTTGTTGGCGGTGTTGTGTCATTATGCGCGTTTTTGGGGGTTCTTAGCCGTAAAAAAACGTATTTGGTAAGAAGGGTCTTGCATCAGTTTACTCCGTGCAATACTTGGCAAATTGTCTTGTCATGTTTTTTTTTTTAACAAACGTTATAAGGTATATATTGCGACATCTATCAGCTTTTAGATGTTCGTTTGGCAATGCTGAGCCTCACAGACACAATGCAAAACCTGCCTGCGTCATCTCAACTCACCGATCAAGAAACGCCAACTTAAACATTCTCAGAGCCACTAACAGACAGCATTCTTACGGTGTAATGAATATCACCATTCCAGGATTCGGCAAAGTGGGTGCCAGTGTCAGTTAAAATCCCATGTTCAAGAAATTATCTGCAACAAAAATGTGATTTCATATGACGAGTGAGGTCTCCATCTTGCCGAAGACAGGAAAGAAATCCTAGCAATCAGTGGCGTAGTGACTACATTATCAGTGGTGTAGTAACTACATTATCAGTGGTGTAGTAACTACATTATCAGTGGTGTAGTGACTACATTATCAGTGGTGTAGTGACTACATTATCAGTGGTGTAGTAACTACATTATCAGTGGTGTAGTAACTACATTATCAGTGGCGTAGTGACCACATTAACAGTGGTGTAGTAACTACATTATCAGTGGTGTAGTGACTACATTATTATTGGTGTAGCAACTACATTATCAGTGGTGTAGTGACTACATTATCAGTGGTGTAGTGACTACATTATCAGTGGTGTAGTAACTACATTATCAGTGGTGTGGTGACTACATTATTATTGGTGTAGTAACTACATTATCAGTGATGTAGTAACTACATTATCAGTGGTGTAGTGACTACATTATTATTGGTGTAGTAACTACATTATCAGTGGTGTAGTGACTACATTATCAGTGGAATAGTAATTACATTATCAGTGGTGTAATGACTACATTATCAGTGGCGTAGTAACTACATTATCAGTGGCGTAGTAACTACATTATCAGTGGTGTAGTGACTACATTAACAGTGGCGTAGTGACTACATTATCAGTGGTGTAGTGACTACATTATCAGTGGTGTAGTAACTACATTATCAGTGGCGTAGTGACTACATTATCAGTGGTGTACTAACTACATTATCAGTGGCGTAGTAACTACATTATCAGTTCTGTAGTAACTACATTATCAGTGCTGTAGTAACTACATTATCAGTGCTGTAGTAACTACATTATCAGTGGTGTAGTGACTACATTATCAGTGCTGTAGTAACTACATTATCAGTGGTGTAGTGACTACATTATCAGCTCAGGGGGTACGGCAATCGGTCAGATGGGACTGTGCTATGAACTTGTGCAAGCCCCGGTTCGATTCCCAGCCATGGCTAACACGAGAGGCGAGCGATATCTGAACCAGTTCTTGGGTACCGTCTCACGTAACCGCACTGCCCAGCACGGCAAAGTATGGCTAAACAATAGCGATGACTGGCACGGCAAGGGGAGATCTTCATCCAGCAGTGGATTGACAGAGCACTAAGTCAATAGAAGCATGGGCGACTACGAAGACACAAAAGCGCACCGATAGCGAATTAATTTGCAATGTTGTGACCACAGAAACCATTTTTTTGATAAGATGACCATCATCAATGACATAGGGGACACGATATGAGCACATCGAGGGGTTTGTTCGTCACTTTAGCGAGGCGCCTTTCGGATATAATTACCGGAGCAAATCTGTTGGACGGTCTGCCGAAACACTGGCCGATTATCCGACAGCATCACCATGGCATGGTGGGGTTGAGCCTCTGGATGGCTCTGCCGTGTATGATCGGTCACCACATTCCGAATGTCCTCAGAATCACGCGCTCCAACCGAGCCCAATTCCAGCATCTTCTTTTTTTGTTCCTTCCAAGGGCTATATGGGACAACCAGGGACAGCCTGACCCGTGAACCACCGAGCAATGTCATGTATAACAATCACTTGCATTGACGTTCGCTCAGATCATCGCGTAGAACTGGACGGGCTGCCGGAACATCTGTTATCCAGTTAGGCGCACAATAGCCGCTTGTTGCGAGACGGAGCAGTGAGGATGTCGTTGTGTCATCACTGTCGCATCGCTGACACAAACCTCGGAGCACAGCAGCACCCGGAAAGATTGTAACCACACTGAAGCCCATTCGCTGGAAATGGCAACGAAATAAAGCACCCGATTGAAAACCCTAGATGGCGCTCGCCATTTTGTTTGCCGCATTTTTAAACGTTAACATCGCATTTCAGTTGCGTTGTTAAAATGTGGGGTTGATAAGTTCCCCACGCGGGGAGAATGTATTGCTTCTATCTGCCCGTCTGAGGACACAACAACATTTTGATTTGAAGCTTTCGTGACTGCAGGGATCCATACTCTTTGGTTCTTTCGGTAAAGTCACGTAGTAGGTATAAAATAAAATAAATCACGACGTTTCGGGCGCAACACAAGCGCCCGAAACGTCGTGATTGATTTTATTTTATACCTACGTGACTTTACCGAAAGAACCAATGAGTATGGACACAACATATACCTTGACGTTTTTACGCAAACTATAAAAAAACCCTTTAACCAGTCACAAAAGGAATTTCACCACGCTGCTCGCGAATAACAGCGCCCAGCTCCTGACTCTCTATT